CCAAGGCTGCTGAAGACACTCTTGCCCTGCTGTCCCTGTGTCTCACAGCACTGATAATTGCCTACTGTGTGCTGGGGCAGCGTGTGGACAGGACCTGTGCCTCCCTGCACTGTCTGCTCCTCTACCAGTGTCCTCCACTACAAATGCGGTTTGGGCAGTTTACCAATCATAAAATTGCCCAATTGTCCTTTTCAGAGGGTTTTATTAATTGCAAGGTGTACATAGCGATTTTGTATTAGTAAAAGTAAATCCTGCTTAAAAGTAAGAAGGTACCTTCTAAAAGATATTCACAGCCTGGTACCTGTGGCTCATGCCTGTAATCTTAGCTGCCTGGGAGCTCAGATAGGGAGGATCCAGGTTTGAGTCCAGCCTGAGCAAATAGTTCTCAAGATTCCCATCTCCAAAATAATCAGAGCAGCAATGTGCCACTGGCTCATGCCTGTAACCTCCAGCTACTCAGGAGGCAGAGATCAGGAGGATCACACTTCAAAGCCAGCCCTGGGCAAAAAGTTTGAGAGGCCCTATCTCAAAAGTACCCAACACAAAGAAGGGCTGGCCTCGAATTGAGAGTCTTCTGATCTCAGCCTCTCAAGAAGGCAGGCATGAGCCACTGGTACCAGGTTATGAATATTCTTTTTAATGTCACATCAAATACTAAATTGCAGCTTCTGAGAGAATCTTAAACTTTACAAATAAACTTTCTTGTCTTCCATCATGTTAAAATCCACTGGTATGTCTGGCACTCTGAGTGCATATTTTTATTCATGCCTGGTTATTCATTCGAACTCAGGGCCTCACCCATGCTAGGCAAGTGCTCTATCACTGAGCTACACCTCAGTCTTTATGCACAATTTTGGAGGATCATATATTATGCATTTGGAAAATATTGGTCCATTGATTTTTGAGATCTTCCACACGTTTCATTACACACTCTCAAAGAAACCGTAGTAATTAATCTCATCAGGAAAATCTTTAGGTATTGGGAAGCTGTCAAGGTCACAGTGGTGGACACAGCTTTGTCCAAACCTTTACTCCATTTTATCATTGGCAACAAATGCTGTCATTGCTTCCCTTGCCCTGACAGACACACTGTGTTCATTTTCAAGAAAATGTCTGCCAAACACCCAAGACTGAATCACTATAGTTTGTTCCTGATCATTTTAGTAAGAATGTGACTTCAATAGAGGGACTAGTTGATCTGGTATCCAAGTCATACCTATGCTTTCTTTTGCACAACTATCCTGAACACTTATGCACACTTCCCAATTGTCACACGGAATGCTAAATACCCATATTCAAGGATGGAGATTTAACGATATTAATAATTTGTATTGCTTCAACCAAGACAACACTGATTTTTTTCTGCTTTAAGTGCATTTTTTTAGATGACAATCTTAACATTTTACTGTATTTTACCTTCACTTTGCTAAACAAAAGCCTTTAATAGGCACAAAATACTGCAGCAAAATATTTACTTCCTGATAAACTTTTTTAATAACATTGAAATAAAATGGTTTCATTTTGCATTAAACTACATACCATGGACTTCCACCACATAAAAGGATTAAAAGTAAGCATTGAGATATTTGCAAACTCTCTTTTAATTCCTACAGGTCTCTTCTCCTCCTGGATGTGGGTGCTCCAAGTTCACCTACCAAATGCACAGCAACGGAGGAAAGACCTTTTCAACAAACATAAAGTTCCCCATGCCCTAGACAACCCCAGACACTTTTCATGAAACTTGATAAAGCAACCAGAAGTTTAACTTTCTTCTGACAAGTCTTTTTTTTGTGTGTGTGGTACTGGATTTGAACTCAGGGCCTTCTCCTTGAGCCACTCCACCAGCCCTTTTTGTGATGGGTTTTTTTACAGATAGGGTCACGAAAACTATTTGCCTGGGGTTGTCTTGGAACTTCGATCCTCCTGAGTAACCAGGATTACAAGTGTGAGCCACTGGCACCCGTCTGCTGACAAGTCTTTAGGGTCTTGTCTACACTAACATCCATTCTTTGCCTCTAAAAATTCATACTTCCAAAATGAATAAAATAAAAACTTTAAAAGGGAATTTTCCTGGACAATTAATAGTCATGCAAACATGTCTTATGCAAACATAAAACTTTGTGCTAGCCAGGCGCCAGTGGCTCACACCTGTAATCCTAGATATTGAGGAGGCAGAGATAGGTGGATCACAGTTCCAAGCCAGCCTGGGCAAACAGTTCGAGAGACCCAATCTCAAAAAATCCTTCACAAAAATAGGGCTGGTGGAGTGTTGAAGGCCATGAGTTCAAGCCCTAGTACTGCAAACAAACAAACAAACAAACAAAAAACTCAGGACCCTGAAATCTTCCTATGACAGGGGGGTAGGGGTACTCAGGATCCAGAGTCTTGCTCTTTGTCAGAACCCAGGAAAGTTGATTAGGTGCAGGCAGAGATGACTGCTAAAGTTCCTTATATATTTTGGATTGTTAGCCCCTTATTAGAAGTATGCTTTGCAAATTATCTCTTTACTAGGTTGATTTGATTGCTTCCTTTGTTGTATAGAAGATTTTAGTTTGTTTTAATCCTATTTGTCTATTTTTGCTTTTGTTGCCTGAACTTTTGGTATCAAATCCAGCTCATTGCCCAGGTCAATGTTCTCCTGTTTTCTTAGTTTCAAATCTTATATTTATGCCTTTAATCCATTGCGTGTGATTCATGTCTAAGGGTTGAGATGAGGGTCCAGGTACATTCCTCTGCTTTTGGATAGTTTTCCAACACCATTTATTAAAGAGACCATCCTTTCTCCATTGCATGCTCCTGGCATCTTTGCTGAAAATCAACTCACTGTAATTGCATGATTTACTACTTGCCTCTCTATTCTGTTTCATCAGTCTGTGTGTCTGTTTTTTATGCCAAATATATGTGTATGTATAAATGTATACATACACACATATAGATATATATTTATAATTTGTGTGTGTGTGGTGCTGGTGCTGGGGAGGGAACCCAGGGTCTCACATATGCTAGGCAAGTGATTTTCCACTGAGCTACATCTCCAGCCCTACAGTATATTTTGAAGTCAGTTATTATGATTCCTCCAGCTTTGTTTCTTTCGCTTAAGATTACTTGGCTATTTGGGGTCTTTTTTGTAGTTTCATACAAATTTTAGAATTTTCTATTTCTGTGAAAAATGTCATTGTAATTTTGGTAGGGATTGAAATGAATCTGTAGATCTGTAAATCAGTATGGACATTTTAACCATATTAATTCTTTCAATCCATGAGCATAGGATAGCATTCCATGTATTTGTGACTTCAATTTCTTTCATCAATATTCTATTTTTTCAGTGTAGAGAACTCTTACCTTCTTGGTTAAATTTGTTCCTCACTATTTTTGTAGCTATTGTGAATGAGATATTCCTTTTTCTTTTTCAGATACTTTGCTGCTAGTATATAGAAACACAGATTTTTTTTTTTTTGGGCAATACTGGGGTTTGAACTCAGAGCCTACACCTTGAGCCACTCTACCAGCCTTTTTTGTGAAGGGTTTTTTCGAAATAGGGTCTCATGGAACTATTTGCCGGGGCTGGCTCAGAACCACAGTCCTCCTGATCTCTGCCTCCTGAGTAGCTAGGATTATAGGCATGAGCCCCTGGCGCTCAGCACTAAGACTTTTTTGATCAAAGTTCTTAGTATAAGCCACTTAACTTGTGGTAATTTGTCACATTAGCCTTAGGAAATTCACACAGTTTGGGTGTTTTTTGTTTTGTTTTGTTTAGACATTCTTGCTTTGTAGCCCAGGTTGGCTTTCAACTCTCGATCCTCCTGCCTCAGCCTCCTGAATGCTGGAATTGCAGGTATGTGACACCACATTTTGGTGTCTTACAGTAAACAGCAACACATGACTGTTGGGGTCATGTCAGAAGGACACGGGAGCCATCCAGGAAGCTACTAGGGATGGAAAAAGAATGCAAGGAGCTGAGCACATCAGCTGAACTGTAATTGGTATGCTCTAACACGAGCACAAACAAGTGTATCACCTTGGAAAGATGCTGAGGAAGCAATTCTTTTGCACATTGGTAAATCAAGGGAAAGCATTTACCACCTCGCCTATGCAAAGAGCACCATGAACATGGTGAGAAAATTCCTCTGGTGAAGTGTTCCAACATATAAATGAAGGTTTGGGCACTGTGTGCCTCCTGGTGACATCTCACACTGTCTGAGAGCACTCTGACCATAATGAATCTGGCTAAGCCTCAAGTCTCTATTTTCAGTTAGCAGGAAATAGAAAAATATTAATAGATACAGTGGAGATGCAATTGGCAAAGCCCAACAAAAGGAAATTTCAAAAATCTACTTTCTTCAGAGACGACTTCTAGAGGGCAGAAGGGAGGACTTTGGACTAAAAGAAACGTCACGGGGCTATAGTGTCACAGTGGGGATGCACAGATGGATAAAAAGCCACATATAAGGAAGTGATGGTGACTGTGAGTCCAAAAGGAGCTGCACCTCTGGCCCACAGAGGGAGCTAGGGAGTCTGTCCATGGTGCTCACAGGTTGTCTTACCTTGTTTTTTGCAGATGTGCTCCTTTTGCTGCCAGGGTTTTTCTTGCTTTGCTAAAGGAGATGGAGCCCAGAGGACTTAGTGACTATTTCTAGAATTACAGATGAGTTGGGATGACTCGTTCCCAGGCTCTGAGATGGAAGCCAGGATGTGCATAAGGTTAATAGTGGCAGTACTCCTGTGCTGGGGCCACACCTTCTGCCACAATATGCTTGCACTCCAGTGAATAGTCAGATACACGAGCTGGGCTCTGGTGGCTCACACCTGTAATCCTAGCCACTCAGGAGGGAGAGATCAGGAGGATCACAGTTCAACACCAGCCCAGGCAAATAGTTCATGAGACCCAGCTAGAAAAACTTCACAAAAACAGGGCTGGTGGAATGGCTCAAGGTGAAGGCCCTGAGCTCAAGCCCCAGTACTGCCAAAAAAAAAAAAAAAAGTCAAATACACAAGCTCTTTCAAGGTCTTTATTGCTACCTAGTGTGAGTGACCACAAGGGGTAGTGACTGTGGCCTGGTGAAGGGGTCCCCAGCGAGCCTGGGGCGGGCTGTCATTGCACCTGACAGTAGCCAGGTTTCAGGGCTGGTTCAGCAGTTGGCTGGGGTTTGGAAGTGGGTGAGAGGGTGAGGTTTGGGAGCGTTGGCAGGCTGGTCACCAGCTCAGAACACCGGGGCAGTACTTGTCAATCAGCCCTTGGTAGTAAGGCCGCAGCTTGTCCACATCCGGCAGGTCAGGGCACTTGGTGTAGAGGTCAAACTTGCTGCAATAGGGAAGCACAGTGAGCCTCATAAGGGATGCCCCAGTCCTATTCCCCCTTGGCCTCCCCATGGGGAAGTCCGCACTTGAATTCTTGCACCCAAGGAAGCATGTCCAGGTCTCTCTGGCTGCAGAGCTGTCGGTAGTCACCACCCGTGTGCCAGGGGTAGAAGGAGTGGAACCGGATCATGTAGAAAGCCTGCACAGGCCACATCCCACATGCTCAGGTTCGCCAGGCCAGCTGAACTGGGCTGAGCTGGGCTCTGGGCCAGCGCCTCCCTCCACCTACCTCTGAGGGCAGGGAGAACTTATTGAACTTCATCATCCGGTACAAATACTCTGCAGGAGAGGAGGCGTCACTGCCAGGCACCCAGAGGGGCAGCCCTCACCACCTTCAGCACACCATCCCCCTGCCCGCATCCTGCTGGCCTCACCATCATGGCCCCAGGACATGAGGACGTTCTCAAGCCCACAGTGGAGCTGGTACATGCCAAGTTCTGTGCTGTAGTGACCAAGACATGAGCATGAGAGGAACCAGGGTGTCTGGGGAGGGAGGAGGACCAATTGGGACAGGGAGGTACCTGTATCGAGGGTCCTGGAGGTCAGGATTGTCCTGGAAAGTGGAGTCACAGAACACCACAGAGGCCTGGGGCTTGCAGCCGACAGGGAAGGTGTCTCCAACGACTGCCCACTAGGAAGGGATAGGGTGGGGGGGTATTGAACTGGCCTGCCCCCATTTATGATCATCTAAGCCCAGAACTGAGGCTGCCTCCACTCACCCCACAAACCTAACCCTTACCTGGGGCTCCCCCCATAGAGCCAGGACCTTTCCCAGGTCATGCAGGAGCCCGACGAGGTGAAACCAATCTGAAGAAGAGAGATAGATGGGCATTGGAATTGCGTGGGCTAAGGCAGGTGAGCAGGCTCTAGGCTGCGTTTGAGAAACCCAGGACCTGCTCCTCTGGGTGAAGCCTGTGGGGCAGGGCAAGCTCCTGCTCTTCCCTTCCAGGGCAAATGCAGCACCGCCCCCACCACAGCAAGGGGACGCACCCTTGTCTGGGTGGACTTTCCGGATGCCTTCTGCTGTCTGGAAGGCATGGAAAGAATTGGGGAAGTTCACATCCGGGTCTGACTCGTCCACCAGGTCATCCAGCATGTCCACGGCCTCCATGACTGTCATTTTCTTGTAGGAGAAACCTCCAAACTGGGTGTGCTGGGTGGAACGGGGGTCAGGGGTTGTAGAAACATGACCTGACCCACCCTGTGTGCAGAGTGTGGCTACCATTTGGTGGGCACTCTGGGCCAAAGCAGGGGGACCCCTCCACCTTCAGAACTTGTAGGAGGAGCAGAAAACACATACCATTCTATTGACAAAGTCCACCGTCTGGTGTGTGTGCATGAGCTTGTAGGTAGCGAAAACACGGTCCAGGAGGGGGCCTGACTGCAAACCAGATAGTCAGTGGAGGCTGTGCTCCAGGCCAGCCCTACACAGCAGGGGCTACTACCTCCCCTCCCCCAGGCCAGGCCCCACAAGATATGAGCCAGGGCTTTCCAAAGGACTCCCCCCACCCTGCCGGAGCTGTGGGAAGGGGCCGAAGCTGTTCTTCCCAGATCCAGTGGGGCTGTGCAGGGTGAGAGAGGCAGGGCAGGGAACTGCTCACAGTGTAGTTTCGGAAGCTGCTCTTGTCTTTCGCCACCTCTGGATTCACGTCAGGTCGGTAGACCAGGGAAGGGTCTGGGCCCTGGTCGGAATGGGAATTTGACCCATTTTACCATCATGCCAGGTCCACAAGGAAGCAAGGACATCCCTGGGGACTGGAGACTAAGTCTTGGATCTGCTCAAGGCAGGTGGTGGACAACTGAGTACTGAGTACAGCCTCACCCCATGGGCATGTCAGCTTAGCCTGCACCGGCCTTGCCAAGACTGAGGAGTTCTCCCTCCTGGGTCCTTATCTGCCAGTGCTGGCCAGATGCCTGCTTCCAGGGGATGCTGGGTGAGAGCCAGTAGCACTCCCACTTGACACCTTCACAGGTGGAAGCTGCTTTTAGGAGTAGGCCTGACTCCACATGAGGGACTGCTCACCCCTGCCCCAGCTGGACCACAACAAGAAGGAGGGAGCCCTGTAGTCTGGAAGAGCAGAAACAAGCTGTAATGCTGCTGCCTCTTCCTAAAGGGAACAGCTGGCCACCAGGTGAGGAGGTCAGTGGAGCTACTCCCATATGGGTCTGGGGTACTTACCATAACCACCTTCATCCTGACAGGGAACGGTGCACAAGTGGCAGAGCTTGCAGATGGGTAGGAGTCACATGAACCAGGTGCCCTATATATGCTCACGGGTTACATAAGCGACCGGACACTACCTAGCCCCTTGGCCTTGACCCTCGGTAATGAGTGACCATCCACCCTCCTCCTGGCCTACAGCAAGTTAATGTGTCAGCACAGCACAGGAGCAGCCCCCCCATGGCCCAGTGTTCCCTGTCCCAAAATAACTGACCTGCTGTGACGCCCAGGCATTGCTCTGCAGCCCAGTCTCTGCCCTCTGGCTTTAAAGAGCTCCATCCTACAGCTGGTCCCTCCTGACAGGCGTGCAGACCCTAGACCCCAACCTAAAGCACATGATCCCCTGCATTTTATCTCAGGAGGCAACAACAACTTGTCCGGCACCTATGGATTATAGGTGGGCAGAGGCTTATTAAAGAAAAAAATTATTCTAGGGCTGGGGGTATAACTCAGTGCTAGCATGTTTGACCCCCTAGAGAGAGAGAAATTCTGACACTTGTTAAAATGGTAAGGAAAATTTTATTCAAGACTATCACAAAAGGTGAATGAGACCAAATACAACCCAGACAGCTAGGGATTCACAAGCCAATGAACAGAGTCAGGGTCAGTGGGTGGGAAGTTGTTGGAGGGCTTTTGCTGAGGTGACTTTGCTGGATTCTTGCTGGAAGCAGTCAGGTGATCAGATATCGGGGTGGGAGAGAGATTTCTCCATAATCTGATTTAGAGTTTTGTTTTGTTTTGTTTCAGTGATGGGGATTGAACCCAGGGCCTACTAGATGCTAGGCAAGTGCTCTGTTACTGAGCTACATCTTAAACTCTAAGGTCCAAGGACAGGGCCAAGGTCAGAAGAGGCCTCAGGGCAACCTGTTTGAAGTCTGATCAAGGATGGTGTTGGACTCTTAGGGGAGGAGCAGCAAGAGCCGGCAGCACAGACTGAGAGTCAAAGCACATGCTCATCCATTAGACCCTGAAGTTGCAGCAAGGACCAAGCGGACAGAAACACCTGCCTGGGAAGCAGCACTCTTGGAGTCATCAGAGCAGTGAAGAGGACAGAGTGATATGGGCTGAAGGATTGGGACTATGAGGTCTGGGTAAGAAGCCTATAGAGTTGATCCTACATTCAATGGGATCCCCACATAGCTGAGCTGAGAAAAACAGTCGGAGAGACACCAGCAACCCCCTCACAACTTAGAATGTCCAACTGCAAGCTGGATGCAACTCATACCTGTAATTCTAGCTTTTTGGGAGGCAGATACTGGAGGATCGTGGTTCAGGGCTAGCCCAGGCAAAAAGCAAGACTCCATCTCAATCAATACGCAGAGCATGGAGGGGAATGCCTAACATCCCAGCAATGGCAGAAAGTGTAAGTAGGAGGATCTTGGTCCAGGCCAGTTGGGGCATAAACTCTAGACAAAAACAAGTAAAGCAAAGGGGGCATGGTTCACACGATAGAAGGGCTGCTTAGCAAGCACAAGGCTCTGAGTTCAAAGCCCAATACTACCAAAAAAATTAAAATAAAAAAACAAAATGGGAAATGGTAACCTGCTACATCCTTTGCTCCTCTACCTTTGAGATTTGTTTCCCTCTGTCTCTTCTCACTGAAATGTCCGCCCCAAGAGGGCAGGGCTGAACTTTCCAATGTGTCCTGTATGCTGTATGCTCAGCACCCACTGGAGGACTCCATGGCACTAGAAGGAGGCCACAGCCATTGCCCAAAAAGCAGGTGGAACAGGCCTCAAATCAGAGCAAGTGCCTGTATCTGGGCAGGTTTTCCAAGAGGGTCCAACAGGCTGGAAGGTGGAGCTGGGGGTGGGTGGGGAGAGTGATTGGGGAGAGTGATGCCACCACTGGACCTCCACATGGGGGCACTGAATGGCAATGAAGCATGGCTAAGTGCAGTGTGGGGCTGGCATCGCACCAGACCCAAAAGGCTATAGGTTGTGACCAGCGACACTTCACAGAAAAGCCCTGAGGCTTGGTGGCCTTGGCTGAAGCCACTTGCAGGTAGGATTCTGGGGACCTGCAGTTAGTCCAGGGGTTCAGGCAGGAAGGACAAAGGATGTCAGTGAGGAGAGGGGAAGAGGAAGATGCTCCTGGAAAATGAAACGTCTTGTGCTGAGGGACAGACCACATGAAGGCCCAGGAGGGGTGCCAGGCTGGACATGGCCCAGCCTGGGAGGGTCCTGCAGAGCTGAGTGGGGAGGACTGAGCTCCTGCCTCTCCCAGCTTGGTTTAGACTCCTACCTTCACTCTCAGGACCCACCCTTCAGTGGCCACAGGCACATGACCCAGGGGCCCCTCCAGTCTCTCTCAGCTACAGTGGGGTGACACTCCAGCCCACTTCTCCCATGGGCTCAGGGTCTTGGTGCTCCCAGCTTCTTGCCTTGGTGAGCCCCTTGTCTCCAGACCTAGCCTAGACCACAGGTTCCTCCAGGAAGGTCTGACTCTCCTCCTTACTGTGCTCCACAGCACACTGACCACCTCCTAGTCCTCTGCTCCCACAAGGCAGGGACCAGCCTGAACTGTCCCCACAGAGCTCAGTGGAGGGAAGGTGAGTTATTACCTAAACTAGGTGACCCCTGAGCTGAAAGGGCAAGCACAAGGATAGAAGCCCAGAGAGGCACTTCTAGGACCCTCCTACCTGGGGACTAGGCAGCCTGAGGGTCAGGCCTGCTGGTGCCCCTGAAGTGACCAGGTTACATTCCTGACCCCTGTGTGTCTGCCTCTAGAGCTGGAACAGTGAAGTCAATCACCAGTGTGGTAGAGAGGGTGAATTAGCGAACACTGAAAATGAACTATTTTCGATACTTTAATTCCATGGGAGCGCTTGCTAAGAAACAAACAACCCTTCTGAACCCTGTGTTCTGCCAGCCAGGAGGTTTGGGTGACATAACATGTCCAAAGGCCCCATCTGGGGCAGACATGTACCAAGACTCTGCTCCCTGGCTGTGGCTCTCCTCTTTATTGTCAAGCGAAGCTGGTATTCCCTAACCAGGCCCTTGGCCAAATCAGAGAAATAAGCTTGTAAATCTCCTTGCTGGGCGTCCCCAAAGGGTGGGAAGCTATACTGCCAATAGTGCCCTGCCTTGTTTAGATGTTCCCAGCCACCTTTAGATGGGGTTGGGTCTTCTTTTCCTTTTTTAGGGGGGATTCCCCCCTTTTTGGGGGGTAGATGGTGGTAGGGAGTTTTTGTTTGTTTGGCTTTTGTAGTACTGGGGTTTGAACTCAGGACCTCTCGAGGGATACGCAGGTGCTCTACCACTTGAGCTACATGTCCAGCCCTTCCCCCTCACCCTTTTTTTTGAGACAGGTTCTCACTATGTAGGCCTGTCGCCCAGGTTGGCTTGGAATTTGTTGTGTAGCCCAATTTTGCCTCAGCCTCCTGAAGATGATTAAGTTGTGTGCCATCACATCTGGCTTGGGGGTGGGTCTTAATTGACTTACTTGGGCTGGGGACTTTGCCCTCACCCCAGCCCTACTCTGCCCTGGGAATAAGAAGGAGTTTCTAATGTTCTGCCCCAGAATGACCCAGTAGTGGTCCCTGAATCCCTGTGCCCTTTCTCTGGTTGCCCACAAGGGAATCCAGTGGGGACTCCATCACTACCGTTGCCTGGGCTCCAGGGTTGGCAATGGGACCCCTGGAAGTCTCTTCCCTCACCTCAACCCCTGGGGACCACAGCATCACAGTCCACCCTGCTGCCCCTCCTGTCTCAGGGCACAGGTAGGAAAAGACCATGGACCCCAGATAAAGGACATATACATAGAAGGGCAAACCATGCAGGAGAGCAGCAAAAGTCTGGGCCCACAGCCCAGCTTATAAAGTCCCCAGTTGGGGGGGGGGCACTTGGGGCCACTTCAACCTCTTTTCTGCTTGCTCAGAGGTGGCCCTTTGTGTTCAGGACCCTGGCTTCTGTTCCTGCCTCCTAGTGCAGACCTCTCCCTTCTAAAGTTCTTTTTGGCATCTGATGTTGCCAGCTACCTCTGCCCAGCACCTGTTGCCTGAGTGTGCTTAGTTCTCAGGTGCACAGGCTCCTGGGTGCTCAGATGCTGCATGTAGACCGAGTGGGTCTACGTGATATGGGTTTATGTGTCCAGAGCTGTGCGGATATTGTTGCTGTAGGACCTGCTTCCTACAGGAGCTCTGGGGGATTGGGCTAGGGTAGGGGGACTCAGCTGCAGCTCTGGGATCAGGGTATCGCACTCCGGCTGGGATGGGAAGGGCAGGGGTATGGCCAGGACCCACATCAACCATAGCTGTGGGGGCTACTGGGGTCCACAGGAGCTGAGTCCTGCCGACCAGCTGGCCTTACAAGCTGCCACAGGCGGTGGCTGAGGTTCTGCACCTGGCAGGTGCCCAGCACACAGCCCACCCGTAGGAGCTGGGCTTGGGGCCTTCGGGGACCCAAGTGTCTCTGGGGGCCCAAGTGTCGCCGGGGACCTGATTGTCGTGAGCCACCACCCTGAAGAGGCCGACCCATAGTGGGGGCCAGGTGGGACCTCCCCTGTGGCTGAAGGGTCTGGTGATGCTTCCAAAACACAGGTCGGTGTGCAGGGGACTGCAGGCCACCGGAAGTCCGGGCTGGGGGCTGCCTGCAGAAGGGAAGGGAGAATATAAATCCAATGGTTCAGCATTTCAGAGACCCTCAAACTCACCCACTTTTCTCTCTACACAGGCCTGGGGCCACTGGCAGGGGAAGCCCATAGCTTCCCTAAAAACCTGGCACAGGTCCAGGGGAAGCCCACAGCCCTCACCCACACACAGTCTGGGGCAGCCAGGGGAAGCCCACCATGGCTTCTGAGCTCAGCCCTGGCAGCTTGGCCATCTCAGTAGCTCAGATCACATGTCCCATTAATGGCACCTCCCTGGGCAAAGGGTAATGGGGCACCCCAGGCTTTGTGGGCCACTACTCTTAGGATTCAGAAAGCCCTCTCTCAGCACTTCCCTTAGGATGGTCAGAGGCCAGCAGACCTGGGGATGCCTTCAGCCTCCCTTCCTCCAATAGACCCTTCTGCTTGAGGGGGTGCTCTGCCAGTGTGTGTTGGGGGGAAGAGCGGGAACTACCCCAGGTAGGAGAAAGCAAAGAAAGAGAGACCTCCTGCCCTGATCAGGCAACGCTAAAGGTGGGAGACTGGCCCTTGATTTGGAAGATAAGCCCTAGCAAGGTGGGACTCCCAACGGGGAGGGGTGGTGACCATACTTATTGGGCTGGTCCAAGCCCAGCACTTACCTGGGGCGTGCGGGTCGCAAGCCCACGCCCAGGCCGCCAGACAGGACGCCCGGGAGCTGCAGGTAAAGGAGGCTGATGCAACCCAGGGTGACCGTGACCGTCAGAAGCTGGGCCATGGCGGGCGGAGCTGCAGAGGGAGGGGGCGGTGAACAGGCAGATAGGGGGCAGCCTTGGCCCCTCCATCCGCACACAGGGGAGTCTTTTGCTGTCCTGGGACGCCGGGCGTGGGCGTGGGCAGGTTGGGTACCTGTGTCCGTCGGGGCGCGGGTCTTAGCAGAGCGATCAGGCGGGGCTGGGGTCTGTTGGCGGACCCTAGAACACCGAGAGGAACGAGCTGAGTGGGTAAGGAGTCTCCTCTGTCAGTTCGCTGTCTGGGGTCCTGCCTGGGATCAAACCCCGACCCTAGCGGCACCTCTAGCGCTAAGTAGACTTTCCAGCTGGAGGCGGGACGGGATGCGGAGACCGGACAGGGCGGGGCGCCCTCCCAGAGGGGGGCCCCTCCGTCCCCGCCCTCTCCCCGCAGGTGGGCTGCACAGCCCCGCCCTCCTGCTCCGACACCTGCCAGGTCTGCTGGGCATGTGGGTTCAGGAAAGGGGCGGCATGACCAGAGTCACCTTGTGTTCCCTGTCCCTGCTGGGAACCCTGGAGCTACCATCCTCACTCTGGGGGCCTTCTGGTGGGTGACACTGTCCCAGAGCCTGGTTGAAGCTGGACCTTCCAGGCTGAAGGGTGGGTGCTGGGTTGGGGGGCGCGCAGTCAGACCCTGAGGGTGCCCACCACTCCAGCCACCTCTTAATGTGACTGAGGAACGCGCCCGAGCCACCGGGGTCTGTAGTAGAGAATGGCAGGAGATTCCAGCAGGTCATTTTCCCATACTCTTCTTGATCCCTTAGTGGCTTATTACTATAGCTCTTATTACCAAAGTATCATAGGGTTTTTGTAAAAAATTTAAATAAGTAAAAAGTAAGACACCCTTCTCCTGAACAGTGCCACCCACTGTGGGTCCCTTTCCCACTTCTTGGTGGGAGCCCCATTCCTGACTCTCATGTGTACATGGTGTATTTGTTGTATGTACTGACACATTTATGTAATATATGTAAAAAATTATATGCAGTTATTCAGAGACTCCCACTCTGATGAGCTGCCTACTCCAATTGTAGGTACTGTGTGATTTACTTAATAAGTCCTTTATTAATATGAAATTAGGTGATGTGCAGTCTTTCCATGAACAAGAACCCTGCTGTTGTGATCTCATACATGTACCAAATTATTCGTCACAAGTTTGCACCAATCTACTGTCCACCCATAATGGATATGGTGTTACTGGTTCTTTACTCCTTTGTCAGCCTGAGAGAACCTTCGCATCTCCTCATCCCCCCACTAAGAGATCACCTGGTCACTCTCTCTTCAGTGCCATCTCCCCAAAGCCCATGGGGAGGATAGGGGAATGTCCTTTCAACCTCAGACTTCATCCTGGCTGCTTATTCTGTCCCTGTCCCATCCCTCCCAATGGATTAGAGGCCCCCAGTCCCTTGCACAAGATACCATACAGTACTTGTATACAGCTGTCCATATTCCCTTCAAGGGGATACATAAGCATCTTTTTCATACCCTTAGTTGGAAAAGCTGCTTCTGGGAGTGATGGGCCATAGAAACAGGTGAAAAGTAGACAAGGTGTTGCTAGGGGAGCCAGGACTAGGCTGGTTGGTGCTGGTGACATAGGAGAACACTTTAGAAAGTGTGTTTAGGGCCCAAAGGGTGGCAGCTGCATAAAGGTAAGTATAGTTCGAGTGTTACAAGGTGGGGAGAGTGAAGTTTGATCCTGATGGTAAGGATTCTAAAGAGAGGGAGAGACTGAGTGTGGTGGGTACACTGAGGGAGCAGTGGAAGGTGGACAGGAGAGAAGGAGGGGCAGGTGTGGACAGACAGACTTGGGGCCTGGTGATGGGCCATAAGTCTCCTATTTAATGAATATGTTTCTTCTAGGAAAGAGGGGCAGCTACTATCTCTGAGACCAAGAGGTAGGCTTAGAGAATGGAGGAAAGTGCTGACCAGACATCAGCTGGCTGTGCAGTGTGTAGGAGGTAGTGTTCATTCATCCCAGGCTGTAGCCATGATGTCACTGTGGGTCTCTCTGCTTTATGGGGTGGGATGGGAGTTGTCCATCCATCCCAGGCTGAGACCACTTGGCCCTGGGTGGTGGGTACAGGCCTGGAGGATATGGATGGTCAGGATTGTACGTGGCTGGGTTTTTCCAGATGGGGACAGTGAAAAAAAAAAACAAAACTCAGAGAGTCAGGAGACTTCAGGCATTGGCAAGATGACAAGCCATGGGAGGTATGTAGGTATGTGTGGCTAGCAGCAGGGAGCGGGAGGGGGTGTACGGGCAAAGGACAGATGGAGGTTGCCAAGGGGCTGTGGGCTGAGGAGAATGGCTTTCTGGAGGAGGCCTGAACCTGCTGGGTGGGTAGGAGGCTCTGGGGAGATCACACATCCTTAAGAAGGGGACGAGGCTGGGCCAGCAACAGGAGCCCCTGAGGGTAGCCTGGGTAGAGCAGTGGCCAAGGGTTCTTGGTGAAGGACACCGGCCTGTTGGAAGGGCATGGAGGGAATGCGGTGCAGGGCCCTCACAGTCTCCTGGAGGAGAACCAACCCTGGGCTCAGGCACCAGACCATACTTGTCAGCCCCTACACATACTCAATGGTGTGGAAAGGACCTTCAGTGATTTGATAGAAGGCAACTCAAGCTAGCTCAGGCAGAAAGGAGGATTTCTCAGCCCATGCAACTAGACAGTGACAGAGGAGGGCAGTTGCTATAGTTGTGCTTCAGGGGCAAGGAGGGTGCCTGGGGTCTATATTTTCCCCCCTACCCCCTGTTTTTCTTTGGCAGTACTGGGGCTTGAGCTCAGGGCCTCATGCTTGCGAGGCAGGCACTCTGCCACTTGAGCCACTCTGCCAGCCCAACTCCCCCTTTTTTGGGGGGGAGAGTCTTGCCTATGTTGCACAGGCTAGCCTGGAGCTCACAATGTAGTCCAGGCTGGCCTCCAACCCACAATCCTCCTGCCTCAGCCTCCAGAATGCTGAGATTACAGGCATGTACCACCACAAAGGGCTTCTCTCTCACTCTGGTCTGAGTTTGGTTTCATTCATCCTTTGGCTCCTGCAGGTGGAGGTGGAGGGAACTGGGATGCCAGTAGTCAGCTCCCGGTCAGTTCCTGCTGCCAAACTCATGTACTAACAAGCCCAGCCCTGCCTCTTGGCCTCCGGAGTTGCATCAAGGACCCTTCTAGCATGTTCTGTCCTTGGCTCATGTGTCTCCCTTGCCCATCCCGGCAGGGATGGCCTTCTGGGAAGGTGCCCCACATTCTCAGAACACCTGCTCTTTACAGCGAGACATGCAGCGCAGGGATGGGGGCGTGTTGGATGTCTCACCCCACTATAACGTGCCTCCCAGGCGGGCCGAACCGTCCTCTGACTGGGAGCCCGAAAACAGGGCTGGGCACTCTCCCTCTTCCTCATGGAAGGCTGGCAGCTCTTGGGACGATGGCCCTGCCCCCTCCCTTCTCGGTCCTTCAGTTTGGAAGTCCGAGTGGGCAGAGTCTGGGACTCTCCTATTTGCTTCAGTCCAACAGCACGGGAGCCTGGGGGCCCCACCCCAAACTCCAAGACTGGGATCTCCCACTGGTCTGAGCCTAGACCTTTTTGCCCAGGGGCGAGCTTCCAGACCACAAGGTCCGCCCCGGTGCAGGACAGCGCCTCGGGTAGTTCCCGTCTCAGCCGCGTTAGGGCCGCTGACCCGTCCGAGCCGCCGTCCGCGTCATCTGCCCAAGGGGCGGTGCCCCGGCCCTGAGCAGGAGGCGGTGGGCGGGGCATCTGTCTATGGACCCGGCCCCTGCTGGGTGAGCCAATGAAGGCGCGTCGTCCTGGGCCCCGCCCACGTAGGCGGGGCGCGGCGCGCAGGCGCACGGTGGAACCGGGCGGGCCGGCTGGCTGGGAAGATGGCGGCGGAAGCCCTGGCCAGCGCCGAGGCGAAGCGGGCCCGGGGTGTCCGGGGTGCGCGGCCCAAGGCCGGCGCCGGGCCATGAGCGCTCCACCCTCGAGTCCCCGAGCCGCGGAGCCCGCCCGCGCCCCTCGGGCTGCCTCGCGCCCCTCGCCATGGCGCGGCTCGCGGACTACTTCGTGCTGGTGGCGTTCGGGCCGCACCCGCGCGGTGAGTGCCGCGATTGAGCGCCGAGGGACAGGGCTGAGGGACGGGACCGGGGGCTGAGGGACAGGCACTGAGTACCTGGGGTTGAGGGACGGGGCCGGTGGCCGAGGAATGGGGCCTGGGGCTGAGGGACGGGGCCGGGGGCCGAGAGCTAAGGGTCCGGGAAGTAGGTGCAGTGGCTGTTGGCCGAGGCGGCAGCCGGGGCAGCCCACGAGGAGCCGAGACCGCTGGGCCTGAGCGAAGGCCGCCCTGGGCACCTGCGTCTCTCCACGGAGGTGGGCAGGGGCGTGTGTCTGCGGACTGGGAGGCGGGAGGGCTCTGAGGTAGCTCAGCCTCCTTGACTTTCAGTTGGGTGGGATGGACGCTCCCGCCTTGGCCTAATGCCTGGGGAGTACTGGGGCGGGGGAGCGGGTCGTTGACTTGTCAGCCTCTCCTCTGATCAGGCGCTGGGTCTGAAGCCTCAACAGGCTTAGTGGGGTATAGACGGAGGGATTCAGGAGCTGCTTCATGGAGAGGTGGTATTTAAGCAAGAACTTCTGGAGGAAGTGTCAAGCATAGAAGAGTATTTCTGGTGATGGGTCTGCCGGAGTGGAAGATCCCTGTGGTGATCTGTGCTAATGTCTATGAGGTCCTGGCTTGGGGTCAGCACCTGTGTTTGAGAGCCCTTCAGCTCAGCGGGGGTGGGAGAAAACAGAGGCTGACAATGACATCAGCAACAGCCGTGGAGACAGCAGTGTTGGGGTATTGGCTAGCGTGCTCAGTGTGCCAGGCCCTGCACAACCCTTTGTGTGCATGATCTCACTTCTTCCAACAACCCACTGGGTTGTCTTGCTGTTGTCCCTATCTGTAGAGCAGAATCAGACACAGAGAGGTTGAGTGCTGGTCTAAGCCAGCTCAGAGACTTGCACTCAGGCTGTCAAATCCCAACTGCAAAGTGGCAGTGTGTCACTGGGGAAAGTTGTGTGATCAGGCTAGGGCGAGCCCTCAATACCTAGAGGTGAGGTTGAGTCCTCTTCCCCCCATTACTGTGCTTTTTTTCAGCCCAGTTACCACTGTCACCATCTAAGACCTGAACTTTCCTCTTTGTCTTTCTCCTTGAATCTGAGCCTCCACCTAAACTGTCCCTTTGTCCAGTGTCCACCTGTTGGACCTTGCACACTCTCTGAAGCTTCTTCAACATCTTCCTTGTTTTCAGATCCTTCTTCATGCCTTCTCACTGAGCACTTGCTCCTTCTCTCTGCTCTCATCTATTAAGTATATGTCTTCTGGTACCATCAATCACAAGCATCTGCCTTTCCTTCCAAAGAGAGAGTTCTCAAGGGAAAAGACTGCATTGTCCTCATCCCCATGTTCTCTGTGGGCAGCAGGCTTGCTGTCAGTGTTATACGGATCCTCAGAGGGAAAGTCTCTGCTCCAAAGAACATGTGGGGAATAGTGAGAAGCCAGTACTACCTGAGGCTGCATAAGGATTCAGGGAAGCTAGGTTGACTGAGGGGTGCTCTGCTGTGAGGGACCTTGGACTGGGTGACAGGACAAGGGCTGCAGGAGCACAGTTGACTTAGAGGCCCATGGTGGTGAGGGCAGTGTGGGGAGGGAGGGCCTGTGAAGCAGAGCATGCAGGCAGAGGCCAGGTGAGTGGCACAGTGTCAGTGGGGGTAAGAGCTGAGAGAGAATGTGAGGGAGACATAAGGAGGCAAGGGTAGTCCCTATGAGAAGCTGACTGTAACACATGTGGTCTCACTGTTGGAGCCACACAGGGGTAAGGATCCCCAGCCTCTAGCAGGGCAGGGTATAGAAGGCAGGGGTCCAAGGTACCTGCTCACCTTGAATGGTATGAAGGAGTAATTCCCAGGCTATTCACTGCAATAGGGGTAGGGGACCCTGGAGCCCCCTAACCACTACCTTCTGGGCTTGGGGCTGACCAACTGCTGGCTGACCACTGAGCCTTAGGGTATCCCTTAGAAGGATTTATCCATCCCTATGAGGAATAAGCCCATAGGCTGGATGCCTGGCCATGGGTTGAAGGCAGAGCTAGATGGTAGGGTAAAGGTGGAGGTGCAGTGAACCAAAAGGCACCTGAAACAGAGGAGCACGATGTGGTTGGTCAGTTATCCTTGCTTTGCCACTCCATAGCTCTGCAACCTTGGGCCAGTTATTGGGCTCTCTCTGCCTCAGTTTCCTCATCTGGAGATGGGATGAGTTACACTAACCTCCTAGGCTGCTGTGAGGATGTGATGAATACTCAGGTGTGAAGCTGTAGCACAGGAGAAGCTCCAGGAAATGTTTTGTGTCTTATTAATGTCAAGCAGCATGTGTGTGAACCCCTCTAGACATAGATGTAACAGGTGCCTCTGAGGGAGGTGAAGGGTACTCTGTGTACTGGTAGGTAGGCTTAGGTCATCAGGATAGAAATGCAGGGTCCTTTAGGTTGAGGATTGAGTGGGAGGATGTCTTTGACTTTGATCTGAACATCCTGTCTGGAGCTGCTGGGTGCTGAGTATCTGTCTTAGCTGCCTGGATTGTGTTCAGGGTCCTGTTTGGGGCAGCATTCTGGTTGCTAGTGGTTCCAGATGGTGCCCTGTAAGGGAAGGTAGACAGGGTCTGGAGAAAGTAAATGCCTGGAATGTGTATGACCTTTTCATTTCAGAGGGTACCAGCTGGCCCATTGCAGGCCCCTTACCTGCTGCGTTAAGAGTGCACTTTCTTTGTGCCCTGGCCTGGCTCCTGGGCCAGCTTAAGGACCAGATAGATCACCCCTGCTCACTCCGAACAGTAGTCAGCTAGTTGAATACAGCATGTCAATACTAAGGTACCTGGTCCCCAGCTCTCCTGCTATTGCTGGGAAGGAAGGGCTGAGAGAAAGGCCTTCTATCCTGTGGCCTGGCCTCTTTCAGTCCTAAAGGTGATGAGCTGGCCACATTCTTGGGCCCCATCTACTGTCCCCACCCATGTTCCTACTCTCCCTCTAGAGCAGGTTGGGGCTGTTTGAGATGGCCTCAGTTACCTCCCAACCCTCACCTGTGAGCTTGAAGGGGTCCAAGACCTTGGATCAGAGCTGCTGTGGTCTGACTGTGGGGTGGTGGTAGGTCAGGGACAATGACTGAAGACGCCGTAGGCCCTCTACACATGTTCTGTGCTCCAGCTGGCTTGAGGGAGTGTGCCTGCATGTTGAGGTGTGGGTGGAGCAGCAGGAAGGTACTGTCCTTCATTTCTTCTCCCTCTTCCTGTAGCTGGGCTTTTCCTAGGCAGCAGCTGGCTGGTGCAGTCCAGCATATATGGTAGGCTGTGCAGCGGAAGCTGTCTTAACCTCCCTGCAGCGCACACTGGCCCACGCTGGTCCTCCAGGCATCAGAGCCCAGTACTGATGATGGGATGCTGCCAGCAGATGGCAGAATGAATGGTCTGTGTTTTCCTGCTGCCCAGCCTGCCATCCAGGCTGCATCCTGGTCCCTGATAGTACAGAGCTGACATGTAGGTGTGTGTGTGTGGGGGGTCTCAGTTTCACAAGCTGAAACTGGAGGGTCTCTTCACGCTGTGCCTTTTTTGGAAACACCCGCTGTGTCCTGGTGTGTGTTGTGGGTCCGGAAGCTGTTCTGCACTTGTAACTGAGGAACCTGTTTGTGGGGTGTGAGTAGGACTGGGTGTGGAGAGGATGGTGATGTAGCCAACTGTATACATCCAACAAGCCCTAATTAGGCTGTGGTTTATGCTGTGCGCTGGAGCTTGCCGTCTTGCCCAGCCAGCCGACAGATGCACCTGGAGGGACTTTGGTTCTCATGGTCCCGCTGCAGGCCCCATGATCTGCCAGAGAGCTTCCCAGAAGAGGGACAATGGACTGAGACCTGAAGGCCAAGTCTGGAGTCATGGAGGCGCAGAGCTCAGGACGAATGCTTGCTGGGTTGGTCAATCCATGCACCCCAATGAGGCTGTTGATCTCTGCCCTCAGAGGACTTTAAGACTGAGTGTAAAGTGAGAGTTTGCATTTCACATGAGTGGAATGGAGAGAGCAGCACTGGATGGTGACTGTCCTCTCTGTGCCCACTCCCTAGAGGAGAGGCTGCAGAGAGCAACCCTCTGAAGGATGCTGGCCCTGCCTGGCCTTGGAGGAGAGGCTACAGAGCAGAGGCTGCTGTCCCTGTCTGCACACCCCCTCTTCCTTCCTCTGCCTGCTGCCTCGTGGCAAGAACTGGGTGAGCCCTGGGTGCCAGCCAGGGCTGGGCCCAGATGGTGGTTTAGGGCAGAGCACAAGGAGGCCCTTGGTGGAGTGGGTGTAGGGGGAGGAGCCACGAGTCAGCAAGTGTGTGCCTGTGAGCTGTCTGGGCCTGTCAAGGGTGGCCCTTGGGGATGGGACCCGAGGGACCCCAAAGGGGTTTCATTTTGATGGGACAGATGCATTGGGAGAAGGGGGGGTTGTAGGTAGGCGTGGTACCAGCAGACACCTGTCCCCTCCTTGTCTGCCGCCTGTCGCCTGCAGGGTGTCTGTGTGTGTGGGGGGGGCGGGGGAGGAGCAGGAAGCTGAGGTTTTGTGAGTCAGAATTGGCCCCTCAACGCCCCACCACCTCCAGCAACCTGCTCAATGCTCAATGCTCTCACATCTTTGGCATTGCCTCCATGATCTTGAAGGGTTGGGTGGTCTCCCAAGGTTGCAGCAGCTCCTCTGCCTTTAGGAATCTGGGGATTGTGTGGTGTTGTGCTGCTGGATTCAGCTTGCGTATGCACCAGACTGGGAGGATGTGGGACTTCATCCTGGTAGGCTCTCAGGGGCTGCACACTGCAATTTTCAAGAACTTAAGGATAGGCGTCTATGGAGACTTTATGTTGAGCATCCTCCTCTCACTGCCCCTGCTTCTTCCACTGGTGGGGGCAGCAGTATTGAAGCTGGTCTAAACAGAGGACTGGAGCAATGTGTTTTGGGGACCTTTGAGTTGTGTGCATGGGAGAAGGTAAGGAGGCCTTTGTCCTTCCCACCATACTCTGCTTTATCCTTCATGAGTCCCCCATGAGACACGGATGTTGGTGTCTGCATATCTGTGAGGCAAATGAAGTCATTGCTTCAGGATCCAGCCGGAACTGGATCCTGAGCCACCCAGGGCCACTCTTGTACCCTTCATCATGCCTTCTTGTTTGGCTTTGTAGGGGTGAGCCCTAGGCAGGGGCCTCCATCCCACTCATATGTACTGGACCTAGAAGCAGTTCCCTGGGATGGTAGTGAGGGAGTGCAGACAGAGTGGGCTTAGGGGGCTCTGGGGTTCCAAGGATCAGACACTTAATAAATCCTTGTCTTCTGAGACCTGTGTTGAGGGAGGTGCTGTCAGTGAGGTGCTGGGGATAGGTAGCAGTTTGAGACTATAGTTGGTCTCCCCCAGGCACAAGGCGCTGAGGCTTCTTAAATCCCACTCAGATAACAGGTGTGAGTCCTATGCACCCCTAGCATGGGCCCAGGGCAGGCAGGTGACGGAGCTCCGGGCTACCCAAGTATGTCCTGTATACCAGACACTTCATGGCACTCACTGCCCAGCAGGTTTTGAGAGTTAGTGAGACTGAGGGTGTAAGTTAGGGGTTGGTCATTGGGGGAAGATGCTGAGTGTGCTGTGGAACAGTCAGAACTGCTGCAGGTCCTTTTGTGTGAGAGGTTGGGCTGCTGTGGAAGGAGAGAAGAGGACTCTGGGCACATGATACTGACACAGTAACTGGGCTTGGGATAGAGGATGGAAGCAGCAGGGCCTACAGGGATCTCTGCCTTCTGGTGGCTCTGGGGGTCTGTGGTTGCCTAGTGGCCTTCTACCCAGAGGTAGGTTGGTCTGGTGTCAGATGAGCGGAGGATGGGGGGCTCTGACCACCTCCTCTTGTTTTCAGGGAGTGGGGAGGGCCAGGGACAGATCCTGCAGCGCTTCCCAGAGAAGGACTGGGAGGACAACCCTTTCCCTCAGGGCATTGAGCTGGTGAGTTGGGGAGGCATCCGCCCGCGATAGGACGCTTTAGGTTTTCATGGAGGGTGGCTTGGTACCTACATCACTATTTCACGTTGTCATTCCCCATGGTGGAGGACACCATGCCCCTTCTGGTCTTTATCCTAGATGGTGAGGCCAGAGGCTTACTCCTCTTACCAGGGAGGGCTGAGGCTGGGAGGTGAGGTGTCCACGAGGGTGACAAAGTGAGGTGCTGCTTATGTGACCTGGAACTCCGGGCCCTGGCAGTGCAGATGCTTGAGGGCAGCTAATGGGGGCAGGTGGGCTGTTTTCCTGCTGCAGGTGTGGGCGTAGGCAGTGACTGCTGAGCCCTCCCTGCAGTTTTGCCAGCCCAGTGGGTGGCAGCTGTGTCCCGAAAGGAACCCACCGACCTTCTTTGTTGCTGTCCTCACTGACATCAACTCCGAGCGTCACTACTGTGCCTGCTTGACCTTCTGGGAACCAGCTGAACCTACACAGGTCAGTGGGTTATCTGGGGTTCAGCATGTGTGAGCTGAGCTTCAGGCTATGGCCAGCTCCCTCTGAGGGTCTCCTGCCTAGTAGTGGCCACCATCATGGAGAACTGAATCTGTCTGAGTCACCTGTGCTCTTTACCTGGGCTCATGCGACAAACCTGATGAGAGCCAGCAGAATGGGCTTCTATCTGTAGGAAGTGGTGTGCACCGAGGATGCTACGGAGAGGGAGGAGGAGGCAGATGACCGAGGCCAGGCACAGTTGTCGCCCACAGCACCAGCCCAGTCTGGCCAGCTCTTTGCTCCAAAGACTCTAGTGCTGGTGTCACGACTGGACCACACGGAGGTGTTCAGGGTGAGATAGACCTCCGTGGCAGCAAGGTAGAGGATGTGGGGTGCTCCTGTCAGCTGTACCATTGTTCCCTGTCTTGTCATTGCAGAATAGCCTTGGTCTCATCTATGCTATTCACGTGGAGGGCCTGAATGTGTGCCTGGAGAATGTGATTGGGAACCTTCTGACATGCACTGTCCCCTTGGCTGGGGGTTCACAGGTGGGTCTTGGGGACAGCTGGTGTCACAGACCCTTCTGGTGCAGTCATGGGGGCATGCCTAGCTGGCACTTGGAGTCTGGCCCAAGTGCTTTGGACACTCCTTTCTGCTCTTGATGCTATCACTTGTCTTGTGTTCTTGGTCCTGCCTGCTCACCTGGTTCCTGATCTGTGGCTTTGAGTGTAGCATTTTCAGTCTCTGTGTTCTCAATCCTTGGGTGTGTGCCTGTCTATGGATGTTGGTGTCTGTTTATCTGTCCACTCCCTGCTCTAGCCCTTTGTGTTGAGGTTGTCTAACCGTGTCTTTCTGCCTGTCTGTCCTGTGCAGCTGGACTCTATTGAGGAAGGAGCGGTATGGATTCTTTGTTTCTTCTGCCCACCCAGGCCTTTCCCCCACCCAGGTCAGAGGCAGCCACCCCCCTGCCTTGAGTTTTCTCTGCAGCATTGCTCAGCCGACGGGCAGGGTGTGGCCTTTCCCTCCAGCCATCCCAGCCAGTCCTATCTGGGGTCTGTCAGTCCAGTAGGGCCCACCTGGAGCCAAAAGCTCTGAGCTGACTCAGGTCTGGTCAAACTGCTGAGCTCTGGTCATTTTCTTCCCACAGAGAACGATCTCTTTGGGGGCTGGTGACCGGCAGGTCATTCAGACCCCACTGGCAGACTCGCTGCCTGTCAGTCGCTGTAGTGTGGCTCTGCTCTTCCGCCAGCTGGGTGAGCCTGCCTTTCTTGTTACTCACCCTTCAGTTTCCTGTCCTGGGGCTGGTGGTCAGTGTGTGGATTCTCACTGTGTGCCCAGGGTGGGACCCTCACCAAGCCTCTCCTGTTCCTATAGGTATCACCAATGTGTTGTCTTTGTTCTGTGCTGCCCTCACGGAGCATAAGGTCCTCTTCCTGTCCCGAAGCTACCAGCGGCTTGCAGATGCTTGCAGGGGCCTCCTGGCATTGCTGTTCCCTCTCAGATACAGGTGCCCCTCTACCCAGCCCCTTCATCTGGCCCCTCCTGGCCCCTCCACCCAGTCCTGTCCTCTGGGTCTCACTGTGTCCTCTGGGCCTGCTATAGCTTCACCTATGTGCCCATCCTGCCGGCGCAGCTGCTGGAAGTCCTCAGCACACCCACACCCTTCATTATTGGGGTCAACGCAGCCTTCCAGGCAGAGACCCAGGAGCTGGTAAGGACCATGGTTTGTATCTGCTTTGCTGCCCAGGCCTGCTGGTCCCTCACCACTTGTTCTGTTTGGTTCACAGTTGGACGTGATTATTGCTGATCTTGATGGAGGGACAGTTACTGTCCCTGAGTGTGTGCACATTCCACCCCTTCCGGAGCCGCTACAGAGCCAGACCCACAGTGTTCTGAGCATGGTGAGTGCGGGAGCCAGTGTGAAGCTGGAGCCTGGGGCCAGTGGGAGTCATCTTCTGGCAGAGTACCCAAAGCCTAAGACCACTATTCAGCTGTCTCTGCTTCCTTCTGATTGTGCAGGTCCTGGATCCAGAGCTGGAGTTGGCTGACCTCGCTTTCCCACCCCCCACAACATCTTCTTCCTCCCTGAAGATGCAGGTGGGGGTTGTTGCTGCTTTGGTGTGGGGACCTCCATGCCTCTGTGCCCTCTCACTTAGGTCTGCTGCTGCTGATGGCCCAGCTGATGCTGTAGGCACACTGTGGCCCCACCTCCAGGCCTGTCTCAGGCCCCTGCAGCACAAGCAGAAAGGAGCCTGGGAGTTGTTTGCAGCAACTTTGTGGCAGTTGTGCAGTGGGCACATGCCAGGCTGCAGGGAGCCAGTCAAGGAACTGGGACTCGGCATTGGCTAGGAGGGCCTCTGAGGATCCTGAGCAGGAGCCACTTGTTCAGCAGCTGTAGGAGTCACAGTTGTAGACTGTGTATGGAGTACTGTGGGAGGGGCAGGAGGGGACAGCAGAGGTTCCTGGGAAGTTCTGTTCCTGGCTTTGGTAGGATTGGGTCCCTGGGAGGGGTGAGTGGGCCAGGCATTCACCTGCACTTATCTGTGCTCCCAGGACAAGGAGCTGCGTGCTGTTTTTCTGCGGCTCTTTGCTCAGCTCCTGCAGGGCTACCGCTGGTGCTTGCACATCGTGCGGATCCACCCTGAACCCGTCATCCGCTTCCATAAGGTGGGCTGCCTGGGGGTTGGGTTGCGGGCAGGAGGTAAATACTCGGTGTATCCCTGAGGGCCTGACTTCCTGGTGTTCCCCCAGGCAGCCTTTTTGGGCCAGCGTGGACTGGTGGAGGATGATTTCCTGATGAAGGTGCTGGAGGGCATGGCCTTTGCAGGCTTCGTGTCAGAACGTGGGGTCCCTTATCGCCCCACAGACCTGTTCGATGAGGTGCACCTTCTGCCCTTACCTGAACCCCTACCCCTCCCTCCCGCACCATCCCTCTCACCCCACCTCCCTTCTCCCCGCCTTCTAGCTGGTGGCCCATGAGGTGGCACGGATGCGTGCAGATGAGAACCACCCTCAGCGTGTCCTGCGTCATGTCCAAGAACTGGCAGAGCAACTCTATAAGAATGTACGGTGGATAACATGGGGGGGGGGGCGGGGCGGGCATGGCACCATCTTAGCCCTTGCTCACTGGCCAATATCTGTCTGTGTTCCCCCGGCAGGAGAACCCATACCCAGCTGTGGCGATGCACAAGGTGCAGAGGCCAGGTGAAGCTAGTCACCTGCGACGGGCACCACGGCCCTTCCCCCGGCTGGATGAGGGCACTGTGCAGTGGATTGTCGACCAGGCTGCAGCCAAGATGCAGGGTGCACCTCCAGCTGTAAAGACTGAGAGGAGGACCACCGTGCCCTCTGGGCCTCCCATGAGTGCGTAATGAAGAGGGGAGGGCAGGCTCCAAGCCTGGTCCAGGATGGAAATGGTGTCAGGGTGAACATGTCCTCTCTCCTCAGCGGCCATACTAGAGCGGTGCAGTGGGCCACATGTCAACAGTGCCCGCCGGCTGGAAGTGGTACGGAACTGCATCTCCTATGTGTTTGAGGGGAAGATGCTTGAGGCCAAGAAGGTGAGGCTTGGGTCAGTGTAGCAGCTCTCAGAGGAGGCTCAGGCCTTAGCTCCAAGGTTGTGGATGCTGAGCCTGTGCTGGGACCCCTGCTCACCTATGGGTAGCTGTCATTAGCTGGGTTGGAGAGGGAGGGCGGGAGCCCCAGTTCTCATTTCCTTCTGGGAAGGCTCAGCAAGGGGGTGTTCACATCAACTTTTAGAAATTAGAAGATCCTAAAGATTTTAACTACCAAGTTTCTTCTGCATCCTTCTCCTAAAAAAAGTGTAGACCCGTACGTGTCATGTTCTTTTAATTTGTAGAAAAAAAACGCTGTTTGCATGCCGTTCTGCCCTTCATGGTGTTCACTTAACACCTGTGGAGCTTTCACCACAGCCAGTTTGGGTCTCAGTTTTTCACAGCTGTGTGATATCCCTCTGGGGTTCCCCCTCGTTTTATGATGAATGAGTAACAAAAGAACAGTCTTGGAGACCACCAATGTTGTGTGATACCTGCACTGCTTAAGCCCGTGCTTTCCAGACTCTGAGCCCTGGCAGGCTGAGCAGCTCCCAGGCTTTTGAGGGCTTCCCACTATAACACTGGCTTGGGAGCAGGCAGCATGAGCACCTTGTGTCCTTGTCCTTACGAACTATTGTTATGGAGTTGCTGGGTCTGCTGGAGTCTTTTGTCTGTTTTGGTCAGTGAAGCCTGGGCATATCTGACCTGTATGACTTTTGGGTTTCTTCTGTTTGGAATTGGGGCTCTGGCCTGGAGTACAGCTGGGCACCTGCTATAGTCCTCCCTCAATTCCAGGTGGGGATCTCCCCTGTGCTGCCCTCTGCCCCCTGCCCCATGTTCCCCTTGCCCCTGTCCCCAGCTGCTCCCGGCTGTGCTCAGGGCCCTGAAGGGGCGAGCTGCCCGCCGCTGCCTTGCCCAGGAGTTGCACCTGCATGTACAGCAAAACCGGGCAGTCCTGGACCACCAGCAGTTTGACTTTGTCGTCCGCATGATGAATTGCTGCCTGCAGGTAAGGCCACCCCTGTACTGCAAGTGATGGGGCGTGTGGGTGGGATGGGAAGGCTTCCCGAATCTCCCTGGTACTTTTAACAGTTGGGGGAGACTTTGATCTTGAGGTGAGTAAGACGGGGGTTTAGGGGAGCTCTGCTGTGGTAATAGGGTCCCTAGTCTGTAGGGAATGATGGGGAGCAGGGGAGCAGGCTGTTGGAGTCAGGTTCAGAGCTGACCTTGAAACCTGAAGCAACGCTGGGGAACTGAGCCAGTGGGTTCTAGGTGACAGTGGTGGGAGGCACCAGTTTGTGGTGGCTACAGAAACAGAACTAGAAATGGGTGCTCTCTGGGAGAGAGGTGTCCTCATGACTTACGGGTCTGCCTATAGGACTGTACCTCCCTGGACGAGCATGGCATCGCTGCTGCCCTGCTGCCTCTGGTCACCGCCTTCTGCCGGGTGAGTACTGGGAGGGCCCCAGGTCTCCCCTCTGGTCCCCTCCAACCGCATGCACGTGACCTTTCCAACCCCACTTCTGCAGAAGCTGAGCCCAGGGGTGACACAGTTTGCATACAGCTGCGTGCAGGAGCACGTGGTGTGGAGCACGCCACAGTTCTGGGAGGCCATGTTCTACGGGGATGTACAGACCCACATCCGGGCCCTCTACCTGGAGCCCTCTGAGGACTCAGTGAGCCCCTTCCAGGTGAACAGGATGTCCTGGGGCTGGGGGACCAGTGTAGTCCCAGCTCACCTGCTATGGTAGGGTGTGGGGCAGCGTGGTTGGCCCTGGTTCACCCACTGTGATGGGGGCCCACGTGGCCCAGCTCGTTTGCTGTCCTGATGGAGGCAGCGTAGCCCCAGCTCACCCTCTGTGGTGCCATGACAGGAGGTTGGTGAAACGCAGACTCAGGAGGATGAGCGCTCTGCCCTGGATGTGGCTTCAGAGCAACGGCGCCTGTGGCCAACCCTGAGCCGTGAGAAGCAGCAGGAGTTGGTGCAGAAAGAGGAGAGCACGGTGTTCAGCCAGGCCATCCACTACGCCAACCGCATGAGCTACCTCCTGCTGCCTCTGGACAGTAGCAAGAGTCGCCTTTTGCGGGAGCGGGCGGGACTGGGAGACCTGGAGAGCGCCAGTAACAGTCTGGTCACCAACAGGTGGGAGTAGGGCTTGGGCAGGGAGGTGGGAGGGAACTGGGGGTGGGGCCGGTGCCCACATACCCCCTCCTGGCCCAGCATGGCGGGTAGTGTGGCTGAGAGCTATGACACGGAGAGTGGCTTTGAGGACGCAGAAACCTGTGATGTGGCCGGGGCCGTGGTCCGCTTTATCAACCGCTTTGTGGACAAGGTCTGCACAGAGAGTGGGGTCACCAGCGACCACCTCAAGGGGCTGCATGTCATGGTGCCAGGTATGGAGATTCTGGGTATGAAAGCATTTTCTCAGGTGGCTGGTTTTAGGGCCCTGGGTATGAGAACTGTTCTCCCCTAGACATTGTCCAGATGCATATTGAGACCCTGGAGGCCGTGCATCGTGAGAGCAAGAGGCTGCCCCCCATCCAGAAGGTGAGCAGAGGCCCAGTGGGTTGCTAGTGCCAGAGGCATGGACTGTGTTCTGAGATGTTGCTCCTGTTTCCTGAGTAGCCTAAGCTGCTGCGGCCACGCTTGTTGCCTGGTGAGGAGTGTGTCCTAGATGGCCTGAGAGTCTACCTACTGCCTGACGGGCGTGAGGAAGGTGCAGGGGGCAGTGGAGGGGGCCCTGCATTACTCCCAGCTGAGGGTGCTGTCTTCCTCACCACATACCGGGTCATTTTCACAGGGATGCCTACTGACCCTCTCGGTGAGCCTTTAGACTTTTTTTCTGGCCTGACCCTTGCCCACACCAGATCTTTGGGTAGGACTTTCCCTACCCTTCTCAGGAATGTAGGGACCCTGTGGGAGTTAGGACCATGTCTACTCCTTCCTCATTCACCAAGGACCCCCATAACAGTGGTACCCTGAGATACTGATCTTGTTCCTTTTCCTCCTCTATTCTGGCTTTCCTTGGCCTGTTGTAAGTGGGAGAACAGGTGGTGGTCCGCTCCTTCCCAGTGGCTGCTCTGACCAAGGAGAAGCGCATCAGTGTTCAGACTCCTGTGGACCAGCTCCTGCAGGATGGGCTGCAGCTGCGGTCCTGCACGTTCCAGGTAGGGAGGGGCTCTTATCCACTGCACTAACTGAGCCCTCTAAGCTGTTTTCCATCTGTGGCCCTGTAAATGGGTTGTTAAGTTTGGGGCCCTCACTTTGGTTCTCAACGTGGTGTAATCTGCCCATTTGACATGACTGTTTTCTGCCTTTACCATTTCCTTGGAGTCCAGTCTTGGGCGTACTGCCTGAGTTAAGACCTTGCCAAGCAGCCACTGAAATTTACAGTTTACATACACATTGGATTCTGCGTTACATTGGCCTTAGACTTTTCCTTACGGATTGTCTGCTCCTGTGGTGTAGCTGCTATGAGAAGCATACCATCAGCACTGGGGCTGTGGAGGGGCCTGGGGGCCACTCAGACCCCTGAGAGGTTCTTTGTCTGATACAGCTGCTGAAAATGGCCTTTGATGAAGAGGTGGGGTCTGATAGTGCTGAACTCTTTCGCAAGCAGCTGCACAAGCTTCGGTACCCACCAGACATTAGGGGCACCTTTGCGTTCACCCTGGGCTCCGCCCACACGCCTTGCCGTCCATCTCGCGCTGCCAAGGACAAAGGTCCTTCTCTCCGGTATGGAGCTGGGTCCTAGGGTCAGGGCAGCCAGGCATCAGTTTTGTGCCCAGACCTCTGTACTCGGGCCCGTGTGTCTCTCTTCCTCTTACTTCTGCTGGCCCTTCACACCCAGAACCCTGTCCCGGAACCTGGTGAAGAATGCCAAGAAGACCATCGGGCGACAATATGTAACTCGGAAGAAGTACAACCCCCCCAGCTGGGAGCACCGGGGCCAACCACCCCCTGAGGACCAGGAGGACGAGATCTCAGGTGGGAGTAGGCTCAAGCAGACCTGCATGGTCTCGTTCTTTCTTTCTTTCTTTTTTTTTTTTTTCCAGTACTTGGGCTTGAACTCAGGGCCTACACCTTAAGCCACTCTACCAGTCCTTTTTCGTGATGGGTTTTTTCGAGATAGGGTCTCATGAACTGTTTGCCTGGGTTGGTTTCAAAACACAATCCTCCTGATCTCTGCCTCCTGAGTAGCGAGGATTATAGTGTGAGCCACTGGCGCCCAGCTTGGATGGTCTCTTTCTGTGATGACCCCCATAGAGGATGGGGACTGAGCTGGGCGGTCTCTAGGTAATGACCCCCATGTATTGGCCTATAGTGTCAGAGGAGCTCGAGCCCAGTACACTGACCCCGTCCTCAGCACTGAAGCCCTCGGACCGCATGACCATGAGCAGTCTAGTAGAACGGGCATGTTGCCGTGACTACCAGCGCCTTGGCCTGGGCACCCTGAGCAGCAGCCTGAGCCGGGCCAAGTCTGAGCCCTTCCGCATCTCCCCTGTCAACCGCATGTATGCCATCTGTCGCAGGTAAGGACTGGCTAGGACATACCAGTTGGATTTGGTCAGGGCTGGCTAGGGTGGTAGGCAGTGCTTGGTCACCTTCCCTGCTTGCTATGGGCCCCAACTACGGCTCCAGGCCAAAGAACACGGAGGGGAGGAGGGTAGAGGATTGGTGGGGGCACCTGGCTGAGCCCAAAGGTCTGGAAAGTGCCTTTGGCCTTCCACTAAGAGCCATGAACTTGATCCTATGTGTCCATGCCCATTGACTCCTTTTCCCTGCCTTGTGTGAGGCTCTGAGGATGGGACTGAGACCAAGGAGGGTCTTGAAGTTGTCCTTACAAGGCCTCCAATTCCTGCAGCTACCCAGGGTTGCTGATTGTCCCCCAGAGCATCCAGGACAATGCCCTACAGCGTGTGTCTCGTTGCTACCGCCAGAACCGCTTCCCTGTGGTCTGCTGGCGTAGTGGGCGCTCCAAGGCTGTGCTGCTGCGCTCCGGAGGCCTGCACGGCAAGGGTGTTGTTGGCCTCTTTAAGGCTCAGAACGCACCTTCTCCAGGTACCCTTCTTCAGTTCTGCCCTGCATCTGCCCGTCCCACCTGCCTACTTGCCCCCCTCCAGCTCCTGCTCCTTTCCCAGGCCAGTCCCAGGCAGACTCCAGCAGCTTGGAGCAGGAGAAGTACTTGCAGGCAGTGGTCAGCTCCATGCCCCGCTATGCTGATTCATCGGGACGAAACACGCTCAGTGGCTTCTCCTCAGCCCACATGGGTGGTCATGGTAAGAGGGTGCTTGCAGGTGGAAAGTGGGCCTGGGGAAAGGATTTTGGGGGGACTGTGGCAGCATTTACGATGGGAAGGCCAAGTGATAGGCAGAAGTGACCTTGATCAGGAATGTTTGAATATGGGACAAGGAGAGGGATCCCTCTGGGTGCCATGGTGCAAGGCAGGAAGCCTGCCCAGATCAGGTGAGTGTTCTGAGGCTCTGCTTGCTCTGACCATAAGCCTGTCCACCTTCTCACCTTCTCTAAACCAGACACTCATCAGAGGATTCCAGGTCTTCCAGGTTCTGTGTTCATACACAGCTGTGTCTGGTGTTGCCTGCAGCCCTTGGAACATCCTCAGACTCACCCCTCCTATCTCTCCTCCATCCTGTCCACTTCTGAGTATCACACTGCCCACTACTTGGCCTTCATCTTCATCTGTCCTGGTTCCTTGGGTCTTGTCTGTGCTGGTCTTGCTTTCCCTGTCATCCCCTCCTCCACACACACCTCCATGGTGCCCTGTGCACACTGAGGGGTAGTTAGTCCAGTGTCTGCTCTATTCTGAACTCTACCTGTGAGATACCCACGATTATCTTGCCTGGGAGCTGCTGTTGTCATAGTCCCGTGAGATACCATCTATCCTTAGAAGGTGGTATAAGGTCATTGTCACAGCTTGCAAAGGAGGAACCAGGCCCAGAGGTCAGGTGTATGTTCAGGTCATTGGTGGAGGCCTTGCCCTTGATACCTGGTACTTGCCCTGGACTGGACAGTGTCTTCATGGCTAGGCTAGGTTGCAGAGCTGAGAGCATGATGCCACGTGTCCTGCTTTTAGCACCATGTCCTATGGTGTTTAGCAGGTGAGTCATGGGTGCTGAGCGCTGGGAGAAGCTTTCAGTTAAGAGATGAGACCTGCCAGGCCATGGCAGGTGGGTACATGGGCAGTTCTGAATGGTGGAGGGAAGGTTATGTGGGGCAGAAGGAGGTCCTCCTCCTTGGAGATCTCCAGGGCAGCTTCTTTTGTCCCCCTCTGGACTCCTCCAACACTGACCCATCTGACCCCCCAATTTGTCCCCTTCTCCCTCTCAGCTCTGTCCTGGTGCTCTTGCTCTGTCTGGCTGATCCTCTTGGCCTGGCTGATAGATGCTGGGGTTCTTGAGGGCTGGTCTCAGGCTTACTGCAACTCCAGCTGCTACCTCGCACACCAGGCCTCGTGTTACCCACCCACGTAACTCTCTGTGCTTAGATGTCTGTTTTGGCACCAAGCCTACTCTGCAGGCTACAGAGCCCACCTAACCAAGCCAAGCCTGTCCACTCCGCTGATTGGTGACCTATCCCCTTGGGGGCTGGTGTGGGGAATGAGTCACCCTGGCCCAGCCAGGTGGTAGCTGCATGTCAGCCATTACCTTCCACCTTCAGTCATCCCTCAAGGGTGTGGGGGCCATGTTTTCCTCAGCTCCTGGTTACACAGTGGATGCACTGATGGCTTTCATGGACTGGTAGCACCTCCCATGGGCAGAGTCATCCTGCAGCCCGGATGTCCTTGAGTCTGCTCTCCTACCTGGTTCCTGTGTGCTGACCACCTGGGTCTGCAGTCCTTGCCTGTAGCCATCTGCCCTCCCCTCGGGATGTGTGTGCCTCCCCATGTTCTGAGCTTAGGGAGTAGGGCCGTCCCCTGTTGTTCAGCAATGGAGGGGCAGCTGGCTGCGCACAGCTCAACTCTCAGGTTGTAGCTAGCATCCTAAGCAGGCCGATGCTGTCCTCATTGTAAGCTGGGTGACTGCCACGCAGAGTCAGAGAAGGCAGGGCAGGACTGACTGGCCTTGTGCTTGGCTGTAGTAACAGTGGTAGATGGTGGTGTCACCTGGGCCCCTCTCTCTCATGAGGCCTCTGCATAGGCAGGTAAGCCAGTGCTCAGACCACCATGTGACCCAGACCCTCCCAGCCTTTGCCACTCAGGCCACACAGCTAGGCCTCTGGGCCGTATTGTCCCAGCCTGTAGGTCTCCCAGTGCTGCACCAGGGCTTAGATCTGCCTGCATTCTGAACAGGACTGCTTTCCATCCCTCTGGGCCTGCTGTCTCCCTCTTCCAGAAGCCTGCAGGCCTCCAGGCTGCAGCTCTCGGATCCTTCCTATACCGGGTCCTGGCAAGGCCATGGTGTGACTGTGTGTTGAGCATGTCTGAGCACAGCGGGTTAGACAGGTCTAGCCTGAGCTGAGGGAGGAGGGTCTGAGGGGCAGGGCTCTTGAGGAGGGACTTTCAGGACAAGGCTGCTCTGAGCTGTTCCAGGTTCTGACTCTTGCTAGCACCATGGAACCCTCTGTTGCCTGGCTGTCCCCAGGCCACCCCTTGCCTGGACTGGAAAGAGCTCGTCTTGCTCTGTTCTTTTGAGACTCAGGACTTGGCACTGACCTCTTCTGGCTCCAGGGTCCCTGGAAGTGGGGCTTGGTGGCAATTGAGGCCTCGGGCCAGGTCTGAGCCTTCTCTTTGCTGTGCCCCCAGTGCCCAGCCCCAGAGCCAGGGTTACCACGCTGTCCAACCCCATGGCGGCCTCGGCCTCTAGACGGACCGCGCCCCGAGGTACCGTACTGGGGGCTCCTCCCTTACCTGGCGCTGATGGTCCCCAGTGTGAGCTGAGGTGTCTCGGGCACTAATACCTGTTTTCACACCTGGCACTAACGGTCCCTTTGTGACAGACCAGTATAACTGATCCCTCCCTCCAGCCCTGGTTACTTACCTGCCTGACACCTGAGTCCCACCCCAGACACTAACACAGGCCACTCCCCATGTGCCTCAGCATCTGTGTGTTCCAGCCCTCCCTTGCACTGCCTGTCGACCACCCCACCCTATCTGGGAGCTCAGCCCCTCCCTGGAGGCCAGGCCCAGCCAGCCCCAGGTAAGTGGTGCCCTGGCCCTACTCCAGCACTCACCTATAGTCTCTCCTCTGCAGGGAAGTGGGGAAGCGTCCGGGCCAGTGGGCGCAGCAGTGGGCTTGGCACTGATGTGGGCTCTCGGTTAGCTGGCAGAGATGTCCTGAGCCCCCCCCAGGCCAATGGGGCCCCCCCTGACCCAGGCTTTCTGCGGCCCCAGCGTGCAGCCCTCTACATCATTGGGGACAAAGCACAGCTCAAGGTGATTGGGATAGGGGGCATGGGGCCAGGTGAGGGCACAGGGCTGGCCGTGGCTCACAACACCTGACTGATCTCTTCCCAGGGTGTGAGACCAGATCCTTTGCAGCAGTGGGAACTGGTGCCCATCGAGGTGTTTGAGGCAAGGCAGGTGAAGGCTAGCTTCAAGAAACTGCTAAAGGCCTGCGTCCCTGGCTACCCTGCTGCCGAGCCCAGCCCAGCCTCCTTCCTGCGCTCACTGGAAGACTCAGAGTGGCTGATCCAGGTCTCTCCACTGCCCTTTGCCCCTCCACACACGAGTGCTAGGCCTACCACCTGGCTGGAGTTGAGTGGCAGGGATCTGAGTTTGTGTGTCTAAGTGCTGGGTCATTTTCCATGTGGGCTCTTGGTGCCTGGGAGGCAGCTGGGGACCTGGGCCAGCAGTGAGACGGGTGTCTGGGGCAGCCTGCTGAGCTTAGGTGGTTGATAGCCAGTGTGGAATGTGGCTTATGGAACGGGGCCCTCCACTGCTGCGTTGTTGTCTTTTGGAGTGTGGGGCTAGGCATTACATCACTGGTGCCTTATGAATGCTAGAGGGCTTGGGGAAAGGGCTGCCAGGATTTCTGCTAAATTGGCCTCCTCCCCAGGTCCTGGGGGGCCTGGGAGGGAGTGGGCTTTGATGACCAAAGCAGCGTGTGTCCATCCAGTGCCCTGCCCACCCAATGGCTGGAGACACTGCCAGCTTCACACGGGTGCTCTAGACACATGGCCTTTGAGAGCTGGTAGGTGATGGGGTCCACGGGCTACCTGTCCCTGCAGATCCATAAGCTGCTGCAGATATCGGTGCTGGTAGTAGAACTCTTGGACTCAGGCTCTTCTGTCCTGGTGAGCCTGGAGGATGGCTGGGACATCACCACCCAGGTATGTGGCAGGTGCAGGGGTAGGTAGGGTGGGCTGGAGTCCCTGGGTGCCTTCCTGACAGCTGGTGGTGCTGGCAGGTGGTATCCTTGGTGCAGCTGCTCTCAGATCCCTTCTACCGCACTCTGGAAGGCTTCCGCCTGCTGGTGGAGAAGGAGTGGCTATCCTTTGGCCATCGCTTTAGCCACCGTGGGGCCCACACCCTGGCTGGGCAAAGCAGTGGCTTCACTCCTGTGTTCCTGCAGTTTCTGGACTGTGTATACCAGGTGGGCAGTTGGCCCTGTGGGTGGGTGTGGACTGTGCTCCTTGACCTGACCTCTGATCCCTGGTCCCTACAACATGTAGGTCCACCTGCAGTTCCCCATGGAGTTTGAGTTCAGCCAGTTCTACCTCAAGTTCCTCGGTTACCACCACGCATCCCGCCGTTTCCGGACCTTTCTGCTGGACTCTGACTATGAGCGTATTGAGTTGGGTATGTGGCTGGGGTGTGGGGGTTGTGTGTCTGATCAGCTCCCTGGGTGGGAGGGGCCCAGGCTCAGTACAGCCCCTGCACAGGACTGCTGTATGAAGAGAAGGGTGACCGCAAGGGCCAGCTGGCATGCAGATCTGTGTGGGAGTATGTGGACCGACTGAGCAAGAGGACTCCTGTGTTCTATAACTATACATATGCGCCCGAGGACACGGAGGTGAGTGAGGCCTGGCTGGGGCAGGCAGATCCTGCCTGGCACAGCTTCTCAACATCAGGCTCGCCCCCAGGTCCTGCGGCCCTACAGCAATGTGTCCAACCTGAAAGTGTGGGATTTCTATACTGAGGAGACGCTGGCTGAGGGCCCTCCCTATGACTGGGAGCTGGCCCAGGGGCCCCCTGAGCCACCAGAGGAGGAACGACCTGATGGAGGCGCTCCCCAGAGCAGGCGCCGTGTGGTATGGCCGTGCTATGACAGCCGTCCTCGAGTCCAGCCGGATGCCATCTCACGCTTGCTAGAGGTGCGTAGCACCTGCCTGGCAGCTCTTCCCACTTGTTCAGACACTGAGGGCATGCCTGTGCAGTGCATGTGTGCACGTGTGCATGAATGTGTGTCAGTCCAGTACCCTTGGGGGCTGGGCTGGCCCTGCCTTCCCCACCACCATGAACTGCCTGCTGATCTAGGCACAGACAGAAGAAACTCCTGTGATATCTCTGGTAATCTCTAGTGTCTTGGAGTCATCTTGATCTGATCAAGAATCACTTAGTCTTTCTAAAATGTAAAAGTACGCACAGCATGGGCTATTTTTGTTTTAGTTAACTTTGTCTTAAAAAAATTAAGAAACAAGGAAGAAGCTTTCTATTTTGGCCATTCCCAGTGTTCTCTATTCTGTGTAGATCAGGTCTGGTTATTATTTCCTTTCAGCCTGAAGAACTTTTTAGTATTTCTTGTAATGCAGGTCCACAGCTTTTGTTTATTTGAAAATGTCTTCATGGCATCTTGCTTCGTTCATTCCTGTTTTTTTTTTTTTTTTTTTTTTTCAGTACTGGGGTTTGAACTCAGGGCCTCATGCTTACCAGGCAGGCATTCTGCCATTTGAGCCACTCCACCAGCTTTTTTTGTGTTGGGTATTTTCGAGATAGAGTCTCTTTTTTTTTTTTTTTTTCTGTTTCTTTTATTATTCATATGTGCATACAAGGCTTGGTTCATTTCTCCCCCCTGCCCCCACCCCCTCCCTTACCACCCACTCCACCCCCTCCCGCTCCCCCCTCAATACCCAGCAGAAACTATTTTGCCCTTATTTCTAATTTTGTTGTAGAGAGAGTATAAGCAATAATAGGAAGGAACAAGGGTTTTTGCTGGTTGAGATAAGGATAGCTATACAGGGAGTGGACTCGCATTGATTTCCTGTGCGTGGGTGTTACCTTCTAGGTTAATTCTTTTTGATCTAACCTTTTCTCTAGTTCCTGCTCCCCTTCTCCTATTGGCCTCAGTTGCTTTAAGGTATCTGCTTTAGTTTCTCTGCGTTGAGGTCAACAAATGCTAGCTAGTTTTTTAGGTGTCTTACCTATCCTCACCCCTCCCTTGTGTGCTCTCGTTTTTATCTTGTGATCAAAGTCCAATCCCCTTGTTGTGTTTGCCCTTGATCTAATGTCCACATATGAGGGAGAACATACGATTTTTGGTCTTTTGGACCAGGCTAACCTCACTCAGAATGATGTTCTCCAATTCCATCCATTTACCGGCGAATGATAACATTTCGTTCTTCTTCATGGCTGTATAAAATTGGCTTTGAACTACAGTCCTCCTGGTCTCTGTCTCCTGAGAAGCTAGGATTACAGGTGTGAGCCACCAGTGTTTGGCTATACTTTTTAATTTTTTGAATCCAGGGCTTCACACATGCTAGACAAACACCTTGTTACTGAGCTACTCAGGAGGGCTTCGTGCTTGCAAAGCAGGCTCTCTACCACTTGAGCCACACCTCCAGTCCATATTGCTCTGATTATTTTGGTGATGGGGGTCTCTTGAACTGTTTGCCTGGGCAGACCACAAATCTCAATCCTCCCAAGTAGCTAGGATTATAGGTATATTTCTTTTTTTGTTGTTGTTCGTTTGCTTCTGGGCTTGCAAAGCAGGTGCTCTCCCAGTCCATTTTGCTCTGGTTATTTTGGAGATGGGATCTTGCTCTTGCAAACTATTTTCCCCGGGCTGGCCTCGAGTCTCAATTCTCTTGATCTCAGCCTCCCAACTAGCTAGAATTACAGGTGTGAGCCACTGGTACCTGGCTGCCATTCTTTCTTAAAGGGCATTTTCTCTGGATGCAGAATTCTAGGTTAACAGCTTTTTACATTCAGCATTTTGGAGATATCATTAGATTATTTTCTGGCTTTCACTGCTTCTGACTAGAAATCAGTGCTCATTCAAACTCTTATGAACTGTACAGTGCCACTCTGTTTTTTCTCCACCTTTAAGATTTTCTCTTTGTCTTTGGTTTCAGCAGTTTGGCTATAGTGTATTTTTTTTTCTTTGTATTTATCCTGCTTTGGAGCTGCTTAAGCTTCTTAAGATTGCTGGGATGATCATTTTTATTAAATACATTTTAAGCCACTGCTTTTTTTTTGGTGGTACTGGGGTTTGAATTCAGGGCCTCAGGCTTGCCAGGCAGGCACTCTACCACTTGAGGCCCTCTGCCTGCCCTTTTTCGTGATTTTTTTTCCTGAAATAGGGGCTTGAGAACTGTTTGCCTGGGCTGGCCTCTACCTGCTATCCTCCTGATCTCTGCCTCCTGAGTAGCTAGGATTATAGGCTTGAGCCTCCAGTGACTGGCTATATTTTTTAATTTTTTGAGGTGTTGGGGATCAAACCCAGGGCTTCACGCATTCTAGGCAAGCACTGTATTCCTGAACTACATTCCTAGCCCGTTTTGTTTTGTCTTGTTTTTAACAGTTTTCATTTCTCTAGAGATTTCCTTAAATTTTCAACCATTGTTTTTTTTTCTTTAAATCTTATTTACAGTAAGTTTTGTGTTTCTTGTATATTAATTCTAACATTGGTTTTATTTCTGGCTGTGTTTTGCTTAACTTTTTTCTTCATTTTCCTATCTTTTTGCTTTTCTAATCTCTTGTTACAAGCTGGACTTGAGAGTTCCTACATTGCTGAGGGTTAGTATTATGTTGTCTTCCTTTAGAGTCTTGGGTTTTATCCTTGTAGGCTTAGCTTGATCTTTTCTGGGCTCCAGGCTTAGCGTATTCCTTTCCTACAACAGGGCTTCTCCAGGATTTCAGGTGAAGTTTCTGTGTCTTCAGTGAGGCCTCACCACTCTGGCCATCTGAAATTTCTACATCTTCCACCTTATGTAACCATGTAGGCTCTTAATAGCTATTCTGTGCCAGTTCTTGTGACATCTGCTTTGTATACGGGCAGCTTAATCAGCCAAAGTCTCAAGGCAGCTTCTATAGATTTCTGGAACTGCTTCTCTGCAGTATTCCCTCCCTTCTTGTAGGCTGCCCAGCAGATCCCCTGCACTAGGGGCCCTGAATTTTCTATTTCTGCCTCTTCAACTCAGCAAGGCTACAGTGTAGTGCTTTGATTGACTCCCTCCCTGACAGAAATGGGGGTGATTGTAGGGTTTACCTTGTGTAGGCCTGTCTCAGGGTCTCAGTGCTGCCCTGCTGGTTGTCCAACATTTGAAAGCAATTGGTTCCTGTTCTTCAGTTTCATAGTTGCATCTAAAGGGAGAACTAGCTAGAGACTAATTTGTCATGGCTGGAAGCAGAAACCCTCCCCATGTTTCTGTTTCAAAGTCAGACATGCTCTTGAGGAAAGCATGTCTTTTTTTCTTCTGACTGGTTTTAGGTTTTGGGTTTTTCTTTTTTTTTTTGTGCGTGGCGGGGAGGTGGTACTGGGGATCGAATTGATGGCCTCATATGTGCTAAGCATGTATTTTGATACTGACCTACATACCCAGCCCCGGTCTTGGGATTTTCTTTTTTTCCAACAGTTTTTCTGTTAACATCCTGGTGTGTTTGTGCATTGTGATTAATCTCTAGTTGGGGTTTGTAGTGCCTCCTATTATGTTATTTGATGATTGGGAAGACTGCTGTCTCCAAATACTGATTGTGCACATTCCCTCCTTCTGTACTCTAGTTCCATGTTAGACTTTTTAAAAAATTGTATCTATCTATCTCTTTCCCATATTTTCCTTCCTTTTGTCTTTGCTATGCTCCAGTCTGGATATTTTTTTTCTGAATTGCCTTTTTGTTTGCTGTTTCTTCCCAGGAACTGCAGCGGCTGGAGACAGAGCTGGGTCGACCCCCTGAGCGCTGGAAGGATACCTGGGACCGAGTGAAGGCTGCACAGTGCCTTGAAGGCCGGCCAGATGGACGTGTGAGTAGGGGAGGACATGGGGGCTAGGCTGAGGGACCAGGTGGGTGTGTTTCCAGGAGGCGGCAAGGGCTGCCCAGCCCTGACACAAATCCTACTCCTGCCACCAGAGTACCCCCAGCTCCCTACTAGTATCCAGTGTGCCACACCATCGCCGCTCGCTGGGTGTGTACCTACAGGAGGGGCCCGTGGGTTCCACCTTGAGCCTCAGCCTGGACAGTGACCAGAGCAGTGGCTCAACCACATCCAGTTCCCGCCAGGCTGCCCGCCGAAGCACCAGCACCCTGTACAGCCAGTTCCAGACAGCTGAGAGCGAGAACAGGTACGAGAAACACTGCTGCATGGACATGTCTGGGCTAGGGGCTGGGACCTGGGGTGATTTCTCAGATGAGGGGGTAGGTTCCCTTTTTGGAGGTTCTAGTATTTGGGTGGAAAGACTTCTGAGGGAGCCCATGACAGGTTGCCCAAGCATAAACCAGTGTTGGAAGGGGTTTGGGATGTAGAACTAACTGGTGATCACAGCAGGGTGTGGCAGCAGGGCTGTGGGGCACCCATAGGTTTGCACCAAGTGAGGCTGGGTCACAGCTGAGTGTTCCTCATCTTTGGGGTATTTGCCCTATTGTATGGGGCTGCTTCTCTGACCCCAAGGCTGGTATTTGGTATTGGGGGTGATGGTATAGGAGGGACCGTTTTTTCTGGAGATGATAGTCCCCTTCCTGACGTCTAGCCTGGCCTTGGTTCTGGTGGAAATACAGGTCCTATGAGGGTACTCTGTACAAGAAGGGGGCCTTCATGAAGCCTTGGAAGGCCCGCTGGTTTGTGCTAGACAAGACCAAGCACCAGGTGAGTGATGGGTGGCGGGGAGGAGATAACTGATTGATAGGATGGAGTTGCCCCTGACCGTGTATCCCCACCCCTTATCCCAGCTGCGTTACTATGACCACCGTGTGGACACAGAGTGCAAGGGTGTCATTGACTTGGCGGAGGTGGAGGCTGTGGTGCCTGGCACGCCCACCATGGGTGCCCCCAAGACTGTGGACGAGAAGGCCTTCTTTGACGTGAGCCTCTGCTGGGGCTCAGCAATGGGAGGAGGGGCTCTTGGTTGTGGGAGCCGTGGAGTCAGTGACCTGCTCTTCCCAGGTGAAGACGACGCGTCGCGTTTACAACTTCTGTGCCCAGGACGTGCCCTCGGCCCAGCAGTGGGTGGACCGGATCCAGAGCTGCCTGTCGGACGCCTGACCCTCCCGGCCCTGCCTGGGCTGCTCTGCTTCCAGTCGTTACAGACCACTTAGGGGTGGGCAGGGCCGCCCCGGCCATGTTTACAGCCCCGGCCCTCGACAGTATTGAGGCCCTGAGCCCCCAGCACTTGTATGTACAGCCCCCGCCCCGCCCTGCCCAGCCGGCCCTAACTTATTGTGGTGTCATGGCTGAGCGCCAAGCCAGATGCGGCCATGGTACAGCCCTTCAGTGGCCCTGTAAATAGTCCACCCTGCCTGTTGGTGTGCTGGCCCCGGCTGGCTGGCTGTGATGAGCTGTTTGTAGAACCAGAGTCTATATAAAGAGAGAACTAACGACACACTCGAGTGCCTGCCTCACCCCCATGCCCAACTCAGCCCAGGGCCCGGCATGTTCTCAGCCTGTCCAGAAGGGCCACCTGGTGTCCACCATGTGAACAGAGGGTTGGCATCATCTTTTTTGCCCCCACCGAGCTCCTGTGGCCATGGTAGCAGCTTTTCTGTGGAAGGCAGGGCTTCATCAGACCCATGCTTGCCATGTGGCCTTCTGATTCCCTCCAGCCCTCAGGTTGGCCCTGGGACTGGCACCCTGGAGCAGAAGGCTCCCTTCCCCCAAAATAGCCCTGGGACAGCAGCTGGCATCAGGGAGGCTCTGGGGGATATGGTGAAATGAAGTAGACCTTGTAGCCCCTGGGAGGCTGTTCTGGGCCTACAGGACAAAGGCCACATGGGGAGGTGGGGGGGGGCGGGCAGAAGGAGAGTGGGCTCCCAGGGGAAATAAGAAGATCCTTAAGGCAACTAAGAAGGGAAAAAGAGAATGGCAGAGTGAGGGACAGCACCACAGGGACTGGTCAGTTTCAGTCTGTCTCTCTCTTGCTTAGGATTCTGCTGTAGATGCCAGCTCCTTTTCCTTCCCTGGGGTCACCTTAAAGGACTTTGATCATCCCATCTCAGGGCATCATGGGGATTTCTGCTGCTGGGTTTGTTGCTCTCCTTTTCCATTTATTTGCTCATGAGCAGGACAGGGCTTCACCTGCTCCATGGCTGTGTCCTCACAGCCAGGACCAGGCAGAAGATAGCAGAGGCCAAAGGAAAGTGGTGGCTTGGGGTGGTCAAAGGGGCTGCTGGTGTGGAGCCAGCCTTGTAGGAGATTGAAGCTGTCAAGAATCTTGGACTCCCCACTGGCTCCACTGTTTGTTTGTTGTTGACCTATTACAACTCCTCCCCATGGCTGGACATAGGGGTGATCTCAGGTGGACCATGAGAAAGCCCAGGCCTCTTCTAGGGCTCAGTGGACAGACCCTGCTCTCCCCATTTCATGTTGTTTTGAGGAAATTGAAGTCAAAGGTGGGAGAGTAGAAGGTACCCTGATGGTTCAGCAGATGAGCACCAGCCAGAAGCCAAGGTCAGCCAGCACCCCAGGACCCACGGGGGACAGGACAAGGAGCTGAGATGCTGCTGGGAGGGAGGAAGGGACGGATGCGGGCCTCAGCAGTTGACTGGGTCTTGTGCACCATCCCCATGGAGGAAGACGGCAGACGACAGACAACCTTTAGTGGCTGAGTCAGTCACTTTAGCAACACGGTCCTTCTAGAAGGGTCTGGTCTTCACTTGCCCCTCCTGCCCAACCACTGAAGACAAAGTGGGATGGGGAGTTACAGAAGGGCAGGAAAAAAAAGGAAGGGGAAGGGTCCTGGGGACAGTACCCTCGGGCCTATCAATCATCTGTTCTGTTGTCTAGGGTTGAGTCATAGATTGAGGTAGAGGTTTTTATTCCCTAAACAAACAAACAAAAACAGCTTAGTATCTGTGCCAATGTAGAGAGAGACCTACTGCTGTGCATGGGCTGACTCCACCCTTGTTACCCACAGAGATGAGTCTGGGGGACAGTATAAAAAAAAGGTACCTTTTGCCCCCAACCGAGTTGGAGCTCCAGTGCTTGTAGCTTAACAATACACAACTTGTCAGTAAGAATGATAACAACCTTTATTGGGGATTGGGGTGGGGTGCCCTGTCAGATGGTCAGAACATTAAAAAAAGGACTCAACATAAAATAACCTTTCGGATCCTTCTTGGACAACATGGGCCTGCCCGGTCTCTGAGCCCCCAGGTGCCCTGCTGTGCCTGCTCCTACATGCCCAAAGTCAGTCAGCTCCTGCCAGGCACCCTTAACCACCCACCGAAGCACGCTGGCCTACCTTGCTGAACACAGAGACACCCCCACTTCCAGGTCCAGAGGCTTGTTTTTTTAAGGCAGTCATAATTCCAGCCTGGTTCAATGCTAGCTCCAAGGACCACCCAGCAGCTACAGTGCTGGGGTTTGACCCCCCCCCCCAAGGCCAAATAAAGTCTGACCCACATGCATTTGTGGGGGTCAGGTCTCCCTAACTCAGGCCTTCATTCCGTCAGAGGAGACCCTGTGCTGTAGCTGGATACAAAGTGCATGCATTGAAAATTATCGGTGAAAACAGTCCACTCCTTTCCTGCCCATCAAGTCCTAGTGGCACTTCAGGGTCTTGGCCCCACCCCTACCCTGACTCCTGCAGGCAGAGGTTGCACATTCAGGACCTTATTGCTGTGCCAGGACCTGGACCTGCACCTGGGGAACAGCCAGGTGCATCCTGTCTTCTAGCATGGCCTGAATGAATGACTCAGGTTTGGGCAGGAAAGATGCAAGCTGGGTCATCTGACTGGTTCCAACTGCCAGCTTTACCAATGCAGCATTTATTTTAAAATTAAATTAAAAAAGAAAGAAATGAATTGCATCACCAGGTAGTTTTCTTGATTAAGGATGCAGCCTGACCAGGGGTGCCGTGGCTGGGTGGCAGCAGCTTTACACAGGACCATTTAAGGCAGCTCCTTCTGGTGGGGCATCTGTCTTCCTGCAGAAACCGGGCAGGGTTGGAAACACTTGGGCCTCCGGAGCTCATCCAGTCTCACCCCTCCCTCCTTGGCCAACTTGCTTACCTGTCCTTTGTCACTGTCCCCACTATGGCTGGGGCTGCTGTGGTTACTGCCATGATGGGCCCTGGGGGGACTGCGACAGCCATGGCAGAGATGGCTGGAGCAGCTGTGGGAGGACCTGTCTTGCTCAGTACTATGGTGGCCTCAGGGAGCACTGCCACTGCCTGGGCAGTGGTCACTTCTGAAGGTGCAGGGCAGGCAGGATTTGGCAGCATGCTGTCAGCATACTTGGCCCTGTGTGGCAGACACAGGCTCCAGTTATGGGCGCCCCACCCTCAAGGCTGCCCAAATTCATGTACCCAGATACCAGCAGGGTGACTCCATCCAGAAGGTGGCCTGGGAGGCATTGCACTCTGCCCTCTGTGGGTGGCCCAGGAGCTGCAATCATCCAGGTGGCTCTGCTGCACTGAGTTCCACAGAGCACTCAGACCCTGGTTTTCGTGAAGTGCCTGCCTTATTTTCCAGGATCCTGATGCCTTTGCTGCATGATTTCAACCCCAACTTTATACTGGCACAGGGACAGGACAGTATAAAGAGCCCTGCTGGACACTAAGCGGTCTACTTTTCAGGTCTACCTTGCCCAGGCACCAGGAGAAGATGGGCCCTGGGGCCTACTAGAGTGCATGGACACTGAGGCTTTGACCCAGGGAAGGGTGTTCAGACTGGCCAGAAAGCAAGTGAGTTGCCCCTACAAGGTGACTAGGACTCACCCCAATAATGCATCTACGAGGCAAGTTTTATGCAGACGGTCATGGAAAAAGGTGGTTTACTTTGCGGAGTAACACCTGCTTTTTATAGCAGGGTTAAGAAGTTTTCTATGAAGCATTTGGGGAAAGTGGGTAAAGGTTTTGAAGATTTTCAGTGATCCTAAACTCTTAACAAGAGCCTGTGATCCAGCATGGTGGTGTTGTATGCCTATAATCCTAGCACTCAAGAGGCTGAGCCAGGAGGACCATGAGTTCAGGGCCAGGCTGAACTACATAAAGTTCCAAGCCATTCTGAACTACACAGCAAGTTCCAAGTCAATGTAGACTACATAGCAAGTTCTGAGCCAGTCTTGGCTACATAGTGAGATCCTGTCTTTTTAAAAGCAAAGTAAAACAAAACAAGGAGGCTGTGTGCACTCAACCGAAAGAGCTCTTGCCCAGGCTTTCCTTTTGGTTAATTTTATCATGTTAACAGTGAGAATGTAGGCCCCTCTCTTAACAGTCTTGGTTCCAGTTTCCCAGGGCTGAGCCCCAACTTGCTGGAGGTCAGGGTGACCATTTGGAGAGGACCACGTAGACCCAGGGGCTTAGTGAGCCTTGGATGGGAGCTGGATCAGCTGCACCAATGATGGATCCACTGGGTTGGAGCTCTCAGCCTGGCTGGGGAAGACACTCAAGCCCTAATGACACAGGGGACCCTCCAGAACTACCTGGGGTGATGGGCATGGCCTTTCCAGGCAGGTCTACCCCACCTGCAGGACAAGGAAGGGCAGGCTAGACCCAGGGCCATGCACCATGGCACCATGCACCATGGCAGAGTTGAGCTAGGCAGTCAGGCTAGTGCCCACCCTAGCCAGGGTGGTACCTCATCCCCTTCTGGTGGGGTCCAGCCCTGGGAACTTCCCTCACTGTATCCTAAACCTACCAGGAACTCCTGCCTCAGGGCCTCAGCACAGATGAGTTATCCTACACCAGCATGTAGTAACTTATGCTCCTGTGCCTCACCCTGATCCCACCCTGCTCATGGGTTAGCTCACTGATGGATCCCAAGGACCTTCCTCTGGGTGGACACATGAGCCTGGGTTCACTGGAGGGGCCAGTACGCTGTTGGCCTCCATACAGGGAGGATGTGTCTGTCGTCTCTGCCCTAGAGAGGGCCCTCAAGCCTACAAGCTGCTTGTACTTCCTAGCCAGGGTTCAGATGATCCAAGCTCAGTCCTGAGATGTGGCCTGTCCTACCTTCTGAGTGTGCTGGGCACCTGAGTGGAGCCAACACATGCCCTCCCACAAAGAGAACAGCGGATGCATGACAGGGACTCCCACAGACACAGCCTAGCCAGTAGCAGATTAAAGGTCATGCCCCTCCCCACTCAAGCACTATCTGGATCAACCCCAGAACCCAAGAGGCTCAGCTAGACCTAGAACCCAAGAATCCGATTGTTCTCTGCAATTAAGGCCAAATGTGGCAGTGACTGTCCACCCAAGTACACCCTATCTTCTCAGTTACTCACAGAAAATAGGCACTACTACATCAGGAGAAAGAAGTCCCTATGCCTCCTGTACAGCCTCCACCTTTATGCAAGGGCATTGTCTTCCCTAGAGCCTACCTCCACAGGATCATGCAGCCATTGGAACAGCAGTGAGGGACCCCAGCCTGGTCCCTGCTTGGTCTAAAAGGAGCTGAAAGCTAGAGACTTAGCCTGGACCGTGGTGGCTATGGGGCCAGAGGCCTGTGGCCCTTAGACTGGAAGCCACACTGTGTATACAATGGGGCCCCAAACAAGTCTGCCACACCTTGCACACCTGCCAACAGCAGCTTCCTCTGTCCTGGGCAGCCGGGGTGCCTCCGGGCCATGGCCTGTGCTCACAGCTTCCACAGCACCAGCTGCCTTCTCGTCATCCTCACTGTCAGAGCCCCCAGAGGAGCTGCTATCAGAGGCCACCAGGGGGGCCTTCCTAGTGACACACACGTTCCAGGCACAAGGCGAGGTACGACCAACTGCAAAGCAAAGACACCTGTGCTGTTCATGAGGGCAGATGGCCCCAAAGAGCCCCCAAACCTTCAAGTGCCAGTATGCAGCCCCCAAGAGACATAAACATCTTAGACATGATCTGCTGAGTATTACCTGTATATGTGTGTGTCTAAACGTGTACATGAACTGCTATGTGCCCTTCCCCCACCCCCAGACAGGACAGATGTGCACTAGTCTCAGAAGAGGCAGAGGGGACTTAGGGAGGCCTTTACCATCCTCACGGGCACTGTCACAATTACAAGCCTGGCACCCAGGATGGAAATGTCAAGTGGCAGCTGTTAGTCTTCTTAGAGCATTTTTTTTTTTTTTTTTGGTGGGACTGAGGTTTGAACTCAGGGCTCTTTGCACTTGGCAAAGCAGGCACTCTATTGCTTGCTTGAGCCACACCTCCAGTCTGTTTTGTTCAGGTTATTTGGGAGTTGGGGATTTCACAAACTATTTGCGCGGCTGACCTCAAACTGCAAGCCTCCATCTCAGCCTCCCAAGGAGCTATGATAACAGGCATGAGTCACCGGTGCTCAGCTTGGAGGGCTTTTAAGCCCATCTAATTGAAGGAGGGGGTCAGGGGCTTTGGTCAAGCCCCAGGGTCAGTTTGTTGCCTGTGGCCCATTCACAAGCTTCTCTAAACTGGTACCCAACATTGCTGCCAGGACACAGAATGCAGACCTAGGCCTTGTTTGGTCACACCTGACTCTGAGTGCAGCCTAATAGACCTGTTCCTCCATTGGCACATGGCAGCTCCAATCCCATAAGGGTTATGAACCCCAGTACTGAGACATGGTCATAACTGGGGCCTTGACTACTTCCTCCCATGTGCCAAAGAACTGGTCTGCCTTAGGCCTGGGAATTAGGCAAGGCCAGGTTCCCCCACAGGAGTCTGAAACGCAGCCTACACCATTGCTACTCACAGGTTTTTCCTGGGTCTGTGTGATGGCTGCCCCCAGCATGGATATGGTCCGTGTCCACAGGAGAGCTGCACCTGGGCCCTGACTCGGAGCTGCAAATGAGGATAAAGAAAGGATGAGCCTGGGGGTGGGGTCAGTCACCTCCCAACCTCAATAGGCAGTTCTTGGCATAGCCCTATACACCAATGTGTTTGTTACCAGCAGAAAGGCTGGAAGTCAGTGAACTTGGCCCAGCCTTTCTCCTCTGGAGCTGAGGGGCCAGTTGCCCACACACTAGAACCTACATCCCTTGCAGCTGCTGGGACTGTGAGTGTCGGATTCACTGGCTCATCAAACACCGCCGTCCATGCAGTGCCTGCCAGGGAGAGATGCAGCAGTCAAGAGTGGGTAGGTTCATAGGATTATGTAAAGAATAAAATTAAAAAACAAAACAAAACAGGTGGGCAGGTCTATTATGCATAGACCTGGAGGAGGCAGCACCCACATCTCAGGGGGCTCCACGGAACTCATAGGAACCTAAGGCTGCTCCCAGGAAGGAGATCTGGTCAAGTCCTCTCTGCCTGAGGCATCTGAGCCTGCAAAATTCCCCAGGCACTTGCCCATTAGCCCCTCAAAGGAGCACCCCCCAAGAAGGTGGTGAAGCCCTCAGACCCCAGAACACCTGGGGGGTGGTCTTGAGGTGTCCTGTTGACACCTCTGGGGTACATGTAACAGTAAATGTGTGCTGCTGATCTGTTTGACAAGGCACCAATGAATCCATCTCACCTCCAGTAGGGGTGATAGGTGTGGATGTAGCTACTCATGTGCCCTGTCCCATCTGTCCTAACAGAGGACAAAGAGGTGAAGTATGTGAAGTGGGTTGTGCTGCTGAGTACATCTGAGGGGTGGCAGGTTGTGTAGAGACAGCATCCAGATTACATGGGTGGTTATCCCTTCCCCAACAGAGATAGTGTGAACACCAACCATATAGATGTAGCTGTGAATGACCACAACAGAGGTGGTAAGGGATAGGATACCATCTTGCTCTGGGTACAGTGCAGAGTAGATCTGCAGCCATGACAGTTGAAGAACAGCTATGAAAGCTTCTGCCTCCAGGAACATGTGTATGAAGGTGTGTGCAGACAGGGATGCAGGCCATGAGCAGCCAGAAATGCAGTAGCTATGAAGGAAGTCCAGCCAGAGCACCACATCCTGTCCCTAACACCCACATCCCCTGCTGGGTCCCCAGAACTACCTTCTGAGTCACCCTCTGAGAGGGAACCTTCATTCTGCACAGCAGCTGGAGGGGTGTCCAGCCCAGGTATGTTCCTGGCTGCCTCTGAGCCAGATTTCCTGTCCTGGCCTCTGTGCTCCAGGCTATTCTTTGAGTAGCTTTCTGAGGTGTGGGGGGCTCCAAACCTGGCGTGGGGGAGGGAAGACCAGGGGCACAGTCAGATGCCTGGTGGCTGGGCTGGATACCCAACTCTGGAGTGCAATTGATCGCCCAAGGTTTGGGGCTAGGGGCACAGGGTGTCCAGAAGTGAAGAGCACTGTTCAGCTCCCAGCCTCCATTTTGGCCTCCTCAGGAAGGGTCACTACCTCCCTGGGTGCCCAAGCTCTGCAAGACTGGCTGGGTGTCCAGTGAGTGCTCTTGTGCCAGTAACCCCTCAGTATAGGCTTTGAGATGATGGCTGGACCTCGCACCTGGCTCTGGCCATCACTCGGGCAGTACAGCGAGTCTCCTCATCTTCCCAAATGTCTTCTTCCTCCTCATCATCAAAGGGCTGGATTCGGTCATTGCAACAGGCTTCAAACAGAGCTGCACTGGGCTGCAAGACAGAAAACATGGAGCCAGTTTCTGGACAGCCTAGGGAAGCTTGTCTCCACATGGCTTTAGAGGGGCTTAGCTCGCAGGATGGGTACCCTCACCTGGCTGGAAGGCAGGACAGGAGAAGGCAAGGAGGGCAGCTCTACCCAGAGGGGCTAACCCCCCCAGTTCTGACACATGCTCCCTGGCCAAGGCCCCCCACGCCCCATCCACTGTGCCATGTTGCACAGCCAGAGCTGTGTGGACAAGTGGCATTAAGATGACGCCATGCCCTATAGCACCACCAACAGCCCCTAGTCACTCACACTGTCCTCATCAGCGTCAATGTTGAAATTGATCTCTGCAATCCGGTCAAACGGGGCACTGCAAGGGTAAGGGGAAAGCCCTCAGCACCTCCACTGGATGCTGGTCCAGTGGGCCTGGGTGCACTCAAGGAGTGGGAGGACATTCACTGTCCCCTCAGAGGACATCGGGCTATGCTCCTGGAAGGACCACAGGGAGCTGCCTCCGTTAGGCCAGATCTCAGGGAGGAGGAAATCAAACCTCATCCAGAGATGATGCCAGATGCCCAGACTCACTTGATGTTGTCATCCTGGTCTGCAAACTCCTCGTCATTGAAGCCAAACTGATCCACAAAGTTGGCTGTCATCTGCTGGATTTGGTACTCGGAGAAGGCCTGGGAGGAGGGGAGGCCGTCACGGAGCAGGCCACAGCCTTGGAGGCTGCTCCTTGGAAGCCAGATTTCTCTGGTGCTCAGGAGCCTCTGGCAAAGTGGCGGTGAATCCTGACGCCGGCTGTATGTTCAGAGTGGTCACGGACACAAGAGCATCTTCCTCACTCTAACTCTGAAGCTCAGCAGACCCAAGGGGTCTCACCAAAGTGATGTGACTGGGGTTCTCCCTCCAGATTCCCCTCTCCCCCACACGTGCTTGGGGATGAGCTACCTCTACCCTTCACAGTGTGATACCAGGGAACTAAGTGCTACCAAGGGCATGGGCTCAGGAAAGGCCTGGCAGGGTGCAGAGTGCCGGCCATGCCCTCACCTGCTGAAGGGACAGCTCGTTAGGGAAAGCACCCTCAATGTCCTCGTCCTCACTTGAGGAGTGAAGGTGGTGAATGCTCACCTAAAACACAGGCCAGATGGGGTGGGTATGTGAGCCAGCCAGCACCCCAGGCCCCACCCAGTCCAGCACTGCCAGAGGCCCAGATCCCGCCCAGTCCAGCCTGAGGCCCCTCCTGGCACTTGTCAGATTGGTCAGTCTGTGCATCTGTACTGTAAGGAGATGCCAAGGACTCGGTAGCAGCCCAACCTCCCTGGTGCAGGGGGGCATCCTGGGTTCCAGGCATGAGGAGCATTTCACAGACAAGTAGCAGCTCCTGCTGAGAGGCAGGGGACTGAGGGGTCAACATTAGCTCTACACAGAGACCCTGAGGGATTCAGCACAGTAGTCTGTTACGGACAGCAGGCTGCAAGTGCTGCCCTTGTGCCTTCCTTGGCCCATGCTGTAGGGTGAAGCATCCAGGACTGTCAGTGGCCTTATCAGCAGCTACATGCCACAGGAGCAGCCCAGAGCTTGCTCACCAGGTCCACAGTGTTCCTGCGGTTGGTCTCTGTCAGCGTCTCCTCCACAAAGCTCTCCCAGCGCCCACGGCAATCTGCAGGGAGCCCTGCAAGGGAAGTGCTATCTGGTGAGCCCTTGGAAACCTGTGTGGACAGTCAGGACACCCACAGCACTGGCAGGCACATCTGGTCCCCAGAGGAACGGGCCACTCTTCTGTAGTTAGTCCATCTGAGGCCCAAAGTAGGAAATGGTGGGAAAGAGGCCTACATAGCTAGGGATGGAGGGCCCATAGGGCCTTAGGCCATAGCAACCCTGAGCAGGGCAGTGGGCACACTTCCTTGTCCCTTCAGAGATGTCAAGAGGCACCAGTGTTCTGAGTCTACTTGTTGGTGCATGAGCACACCCTGAGGACTACAAAACAGCCACTGCAGAGCAGGATCTGAGAAAGCAACCCACCGTCCTTCTCCATCCCTCACAGGACTGAGTTTGGCAGTACCCTGCAGGGCTGTGTGTGTTGTGATCTGGAAATGGTGAGGGATGACCAGGCAAAGAGCTTTCTGCTCACCCTTCACCTCCCCAAACTGCTCCATCCTGGGGAACCTCCCTGGTCCCAAGTCCCATCCCATTTGCTTTTCCTGTCCATCAGCATAGAGACCTCCCCCAGCTTGCTTGCTGTCCTGCCCTGGGCCCTCACGCTCTCATCATATGTGATGATGGACCAGCAAGCTCAAGCTCACCTGAGGCTACTAAAGCATGACAGAGAAGACCTCTTCTCTCTTGCCTTGGGGGACAGAGAGGACCACCTGGAGCTTCCTCACCTCACACCTGCCCAGGAGGGCCGCATAGGGGGACCATGGAGTCAATCAGGTGGGGCTGCAGATTGCATCTCCTCAGCCACATATGATATATACAACTTATTTACCTTCTATACCAGACCCAACCCTGGTGCCAGGCAGAACCTTGCACATGCCCTGTACAGCAAGACCGTCTTCTCATATCCCCACGAGAGCCAGGTCCCTCAAACAGACCCCCACCAGAAAACTCAGGGTGCTGAGCCTGATGTGTCAACTGTTCATGCTCAGCCAACTTCCTGAGTATCTCTGAAGCAAACTGCCTCTCCACTCCAACCAAGTCTCAATGCACCTAGACAAACCCCACTCAGCTTGCTGGTATCTTACTCTTCCCCTCACCCAGCCCTTCCCTGCTCAGCCCATGCACACAGGCCAGACAATGAGGTCCACAGCATGAGAAAGTAGGTGTGGGCACAGAGCCACACTGTGCTTAGAACACGAAAAGGACAGGAATGAGTAACCTGCTGGAGTGCCATGCAGGAAGGGACCTGGGGTAGTGGAGTGGGCACAATAGCTGAGGGCAAGGATCTGCTGGGGACTGTGCTGCTGTCCTGCTCAGAGCCCAAAATGGGATTACCCACACCACAGGCTCCCAGGGCCTAGTTCCTACTGCTAGGTCCTGGGGGACAGGATACCACCTATTCCTCCAGTTCCCCCAAAACTCACATTCAGAAGGTCCCCAAAATGCCTGAGGCCAGAGCAAAGCTGGAATGTGGGCCAGGACTGCCAGTACTAGGCAGAGGAGGAGACCATGAGCACAAGATAGCCTGCGGCTTCTGAGTACCAGCACTGGAGCCATGGACTGCCCCCAGTAGGCTGAGTCCCCTATACTATGTGCTGATGCTTGATAGGCTCTCCAGAGGTGTCTGCCCCATAGAGCAAACCCCCAGCTTACCCTGAGAAGAGACCCAATGTGGGAAGTAGGACAACAAAGGTGGCTCATGGTCTGTTCCATAGCAGTGTAGTTACCACCCACTGAAGTACAGAGGGTAGAGAGAGATGAGGGCAGTAGGCTCACCTCGGATGACCTCACTGATGTGGGTTTGTACGGGGCCCCGCTCCAGGTTCTGTACCACTGCATTGGCGATCCGAGTGAGGTGGCCCATGTTCCCACGTCTCATGCCACCTGCTGCCCTGAAAGTGACAGGGATTGTCAGGGTAGCCAGCCATCCAGTCCCAGCCTTGCCCAGCTTGCTTTTGAAAAGGCCAGGTAATCTAGGCCTCCTGAAGCTTCTCCACTGTCACCTCCATTCCAGGGCCTCTCTTCCACTGGGGTCACCCTATGTTAATGTCCAGAGCAAAGGCCTGTCATTACTCAGTACCTGACCAGCAGCTTCATCTCCAAGATGCTGTTAACTGGAGACTATCTGCCATGTACAACATGTTCAGCCAAACTTACCACCAAGAAGCAATGAGACTGCTCATTTTAGGCCAAAAGGCCATGGTGTTGGTCCAAGTCCCATTAAAGGCAGCAGTGGAGCTGAGCCAGGCCTGGTAGCTGCAGAACTCACCCTGTGTATGCTACTCCCAGGACGCTACTTGCCATTGGGGCTGGGTGGGGCCTCCTTACCATGTGGCTAGCACAGTTTCTGCTCAACCAACCACACACAGGTACAGGTGACATCTCACAACTGCACTCAGACCCCTCTGATATACCATGAGTCCCTCCCATCACCATCCAGATTCCACCTACTCCCAGAAACACAGTGAATGAGGGTGGCCCCAGACCCTGGAAAACACGCAAGAAATGCTTCTTGACCCGAGGGAAGATTCAGTTAAATAGAAGACACCGAAAGATTAAAATAAAAATGCTTCCCTATGTGCTAGCAGAGTGTGTCCTAAAGTTTTGAGACGACCAAAAATGGTAGTGGCCAGCATTCAGGAGGCTAAGGCAGGAGGATTGGGAGTTTGAGGGCAGCCTGGGATATACAGCAAGACCTTGTCCCAAAAAAAAATCTGAAAAAAAGAAAAAGAATGGTCATAGGACCAGGCTGGGCAAGGATATTGGGACTACATGGGCTGCTGGGAGATAAGGGGCTGCTCACTGGACCACTGTCTAGTCTAGCCATCACTTAACCTGCCCCTTCTTGTCACCTCTCTATGCCCTCATTGCTGGGCAGCCCTCACAGTTGTTCACCCAGTAGCAAGATCCCTTCCAGGACAGGGACAGGTACAGGCTGAGCCAAACACCCTTGATTCCCCACACTGAGCTTGGAGTCCTGAACACAGTATTGCCAACACCCTGGTGAGATGTAGCCCTGCATCCCCAAATGGCCAGGGGGGTACCCGAGACTCTTACTGTGTATGGTCGTTGGCTTCCCAGGCCTCCAGGATCCTCTGTACCAGGCAGCACTTCTGGAACAGCTGGGAGGGCAGGCAGTGTGAGTTGGGGCCTGCAGGGCTACATACCCCCCAGACGCTGCAGGCAGTAAGCCAGTCCATCAGCATTGAAGGCCCAGGGGCTGTGACACCCTCACAGCCCCAATATCTGTGGTCCCCACCAAACACCAAAGGCAGGTGCTGCCCAAAGGCCTCAAAGTCTCATGCTGTTGAGTGCCCTGAGAAGGAAGACCAGGATGATAAAGGACACTTTTTGTGCTCCTCCGGCATCCCATGGGCCTCCTCGACCTTTACCTCTCTGGCTACTTTCCCATCTGCTTCCTCAGTATCCAGAAGGAACAGTTGGGGCCCTCAGCACTTATTCTCCCCTTCAGACCCCGATAGGCTATTTCCTGTACCTGGGAAGTTTGTCTTAGGCCCCAAACTTATATTCCCATTCTCAAACTCTGGGGGTCTCTTTCTGGCTACATAGCCCCTGAATACTTCCCTCCCCACCATGTGGCTCTCATCATTGAAACCACCTGCACCCTGGCTGTTTATCCACTGGGTCACTGGCTGTGAGCCAGACTGGATCCTTCTTGGCCCACCCACCAGGCCTATACATAGAAGGTACCTAGGACATCTGTCCAAAGCAAGCAGGAGGAAGACCTTCCAGAACTACTCAAGCCTGGCTGTCTATGAGGCCTCTGATAGAGACCCAGGGACCCGTTCCCAAGTCTCTGCCCTCCTATCAGCCACATGACATGGTTCAGGATGTCCACTACCACCACAGCCATCGTTGACTAAGCAGTCACATATTAGTCTGACTTCAGGGTATCTCTTCATGCCTCTCCCCTCCTTCCCTGGAAACACTCATTAAGGTTGCTCCCCACTAGGGATGATGTTAGATATGAGGAAAGAGACTCTGACTCCGGGCTCTCACCCACTCGGGGGAAGAGGCTGGGTGAGAGTACAACTGTGTGATCATCCAATGGGGAGGAAGGGAGGCAGTCAGAGAGAGGGCTGGTGCTTCTAGGAGGTCCAACATCTCAGAAAGCTTTCTTATAAGAATATGAGATTTGCATTTTCCTTCATGTTCAGTGTAACAGTGGGCTGAACCATGGGCCACAAAGCTGCGCCTCAGACATAGTGGGCTGCTCCTGAATGCAGATGTGGGGGAAGAAGGGGGTCTTAGGTGGCTGCCCACCTGGAACTATAGCCCACAACACTAACTGTGCAAATATGCCTTTGCTCTGACTGCCCTCACCATCCCTGCCACCAGCTAAGTGACCCTGGAAAACTTAAATGTTTCTTCATGATTTAGTGTACTTGTGGGTCAAAGAGGGTAGCCCCTCCCACCCACATGAGGGTTAAAAGAAAACACACCAGGGCCCAGCAGTGCTGGCCACAGATGGCATACCTCCAACCCTAACATCTACACAAGTCTGGGCATGACTCAGTTGGCAGTGACTACCAGGATGCTAGTTCGGACTTACATGGGTCACCATCATGTTCTCAGGAAGGCTGGCGACTGGTTGAGGGGTCTCCACCTTCCCATTCCCGTTCCTGCTCCCGTGCATAGGCTCCACCCTGCTCTCGGATCCACTGGCTTCTGCCCGCTCCTCCGAGGCAGAGTGGGAAAGAATAGCGGCTATGCACAGTTCCACTTGGAAGTGCAAAAAGTTATTCCAGGTGTACTTAAAAAACAAGTCCTGAGTAAACAGAAGACAGAGAAAGTTCTTAGATGGGCCTTCTCCTAACAGCTAAGTCACAGAGAAAAGCAGAATCACTCTTAAACTTCATCTCCTAATTTCTCAGGTCTCGTCTCTAATGTGTTAGGGTGTTTCCCTGAGATCTGTTCTCTCTTAGGTAGCTTTCTGAGGCTGCCTTACCCTTCGCCCTCTTGCCTGCCACCTTCTGTGTGTCACACTAACCTTGACTCTTAGCCAAATAATTTTCTTCTACTTCCTGTGTGTTTATTTTTTATCTCTAAATTGCTTAATTAATTACTATTTTTTTATTTTCCAGTATGTCTTTAAAAGGCTATATATTTCCCTGTAAAAATCTACTTTAACTATACTCTATACATTTTGATAAGTAGAATTTTTTTATTATTCTTCAGCTCTAAGATTTTGTCTTTGGTGAATGACTGGAAACATACTGAACTGGAGACTCCACCCAGGATGAGCAGTGTGCATCTTCCCCACCTGAATATGAGCCTGAGGTATGTATCTAGAATAGGCATCTATTCCCTGAGGAATAGGCAGCATGGGCTGAAGCCTGGAAGAGGAGGTTCTAACTGTCTTGGGCTTCCCTTGAGAGACAGAGGTGCCTGAGTGGGGACGGCTGCTGTTCCACTGCCTACAAACCCTCTTCTAGACCAGGGCAAGAAGGAAGGATAGGTACAGGTACACTCCCTGAAGCTCTGAGCCCCCAGTTCCTGTCCTCTCCCATTACTACTATCTTACACAGACCAGGGCTGTATTAGCCTATATCCCAGACTCCCAGCTGCCCACACAGAGAACAGGTGTTTCTGGGCAGAGAGATGAAATATGAGTTTGGACCCCTCCTTTACCCCAGGGATTTGAGAGCTTGAGAAAAGCAGTGAACCCATCTTCTTGACATACTTCTCCCCAACAGGAACATAGTCCCAGATCTCAGTTTTACCTTTTCTGCCTATGCAACCTTGAACCATCTTAGAGGCCTGACTGAGTTACCTCATCTGCAACAGAGAGCCAGATCCACCTTTCAACAAAGAAAAGTCAGAGCAGATGGCCTCACTGGTGAAGAAATGATGCCAGTCCTTCTCAAACTCTTCCAAAAAATGGAGAGGAGGGAACTCTGCCAAACTCATTTCATGGATTTCAACTCAGGGCCTCACACCTGCTAGGCAGGTGGTCTACTGCTTGTGTCTCTCCACCAGCCCTCAGTTTCTTAATTTAATTCAATAAAGTAAGGATAGAAGGAAACTTCTTGAACATGATAAAGATATTGACCAAAAAGTTCACAGCTAACATCATACTCAATGGTAAAAACTGAAAGTTTCTACTCCAGGATTAGGAAAAAGACAAGGATGCCCATTCTCACGTCTTCTATTTAACATAGTACTCAAAACCCTTACTAGAGCAATCAGGTAAGAAAAAAATAAAAGGTATCCAAATTGGAAAGGAAGAAATAAAATTATCTTTGTTCTCAAATGACATGATCTTATAAGTAGAAAATATTTATTTATTTATTTATTTTTGGTGGGACTGAGGTTTGAACTCAGGGCTTCACATAAGTAGAAAATAAACTGTCAAAGCTAATAAACAAATTCAGCAAAGCTGTAGAATATAAAAGCAACACACAGAAATTATTGCATTTCTATACAGCAGCAACAAACAATCCAAAAAGGAAATTAAGAGAATAATTTCAAGCCAACCATGGTGGTACACATCTGTAATGCTGGTTTTTGGGAGGCTAAAGTAGAAGATTGGAAGTTTGAGGCCAGCCTGGGTATATAGTGAGTGTCAGGCCAGTCTGGGCTACATAGCAAGACCCTGTCTCAAAAAACAAAGGCTAGGCACTGGTGGGCTCACGCCTATAATTCTAGCTACTTGGAAGGCTAGGATTGGGAGGATCATGATTTGAGACCAGCCAGGGAAAATAGTTCTCAAGACCCCATCTCCAATATAACTACAGCAAAAGTGCACTGGAGGAGTGGCTCAAGCAGCAGAGTGCCTGCTTTGCAAGTGTGAAGCTCTGTGTTCAAACCCCAGTCCCACCAAAAAAAAATTCATATATGATAGCATCCAAAAGAATAAAGTCCTTAAGAATAAACTAAAAAAGTGATAGACTAGTACACTGAAAACTACAAAACATTGTTGAAAAATTTAAAGAAGGGCTATTATTTTTATTTATTTATTTATTTGCAACAATGGGAATTGAGCCTAAGGCCTTGTTCATGCTAGGCAAGTGCTTTACCACTGAGCTACACCCCTAACCTCAAAGAAGACCCATTTAAGTAAATGGAAAGATACTTGTGCTCATCAATTGGAAAACTCAATATTGTTAAAAAGACAACACTAGCTAAAGTGTGATCACTATAAAAATTCCAACAATACTTTTGGGAATAGAAATAAGATGAAGGCCCTGAGTTCAAGCCCCAGTACCCCCCCCAACACACAGAAAACTCAGTGGGCCTAGAAAAGTGAAAACGATCTTGAAAAAGAAGAACAAAGCTAGAAAACTCCCATTTCTCAATCCCAAAATGTATTACAAAGTTAGTTATCAAGACAGTGTGGCATTGGCATAAAGATAGAGAGAGATACAGACTAATAGAATACAGCACCTAGAAATAATCCTTCCCATTATGGCAAATTGACTTTCTACAGGGTACCAAGACCATTCAATGGGGAAAGTACAGTCTTTTCTACAAATAGTGCTGGACAATTGGACATTCACATGTGAAGAATGAAGTTGGAGTCAGGCGCCCGTGGCTCACGCCTGTAATCCTAGCTACTCAGGAGGCAGAGATCAGGAGGATCATGGTTCAAAGCCAGCCCCAGGCAATTAATTCCGCGAGACCCTATCTTGAAAAAAACCTAACATAATAAAGGGCTGGTAGAGTGGCTCAAGGAGTAGGCCCTGAGTTCAAGCCCCAGTACCGCAAAAAAAAAAAAAAAAAAAAAAAGTTGGAACCTGCCTTGTACCATATATAAAAATTAACTCAAAGTGGATAAAAGACCTAACTCTTTGAAAAACATCATGACACCAAAAGCACAAACGAGAGAAAAAGATAAGTTGTGTTTCATCAAAATTAAAAAATTTTATGTGTTAAAGGACACCATGAAGAGAGTGAAAATGTCAGGCTTGATGGTGCACACTTGTAATACCAGCCCTTGAGAGCCTGAGGGAGGAGGATCATGAGTAAAAGGGTAGCTTGGGTTACACAGTGAGATCCTGTCTCAAAAAAAAAAGGAGCTAGGTGCCTGTGGCTCACACCTGTAATCCTAGCTATGCAGGAGGCAGAGATCGCAGTTCGAAGCCAGCCCCTATCTCAAAAACACTCAAGGAAGGGGTAACTAGTGGGAGGGGGAGGGTAAATGAAGGAGATTAGGTGATGGTATATAGTAGATGAATTTCATATACCTGTATGAAACAGAACTAAGAAGCCTCTTGCAATTGCTTTAAGTGGGATGGGGAGGGGGTTGAGGGGGAGAGACAATGTAACTAATATACACTATAAGTCTAATTGGAATTGTCACTACAAATCTTCCCCTATATGATGAATATACCCTAATAAAAATTTATATAAAAAAAAGAGTAACAGGAGGGTTAATTTGATTAAAGCATGATATATACAGGCCTGAAGTACCAAAGTGAAACACCTTGGACCATCAACATATACTTTTTAAAAACTGAAGGACAGGAGGTCTTTTCCAGGAGTGAGTACTAGTGGGAGGGAGGTAGGCATAAGGAAAGGGTGAATGAGGATGTGAATAGGTGGATGTATTTTGTATTCATATATGAAAATAGAAGAACAAAACCTGTTGAAATTGTTCTAAGAAGGGGGAGGGGGAAGAGGAAGAACAATAGAGGAGGTAAATCTAACTAAGATATATTGTAAGCACATATGTAAATATCACAATGTATCCCCATACAACTATTATTTGCTAATAGAATTTTAAAAAGAAAATACCCAACACAAAACAAGGCTGGCAGAGTGGCTCAAGTGGTAGAGCACCTGTTTAGCAAGTGTCAAGCCCTAAGTTTAAACCCCAGTACTGCCAAAAAAAAAAAAAAAAAAAAAAAAGGAAAGAGATTCTGACACATTGAACAATGTGGATGAATCTTCAGGACATTGTGCTCAGTGAAATAAGCAGAGGCCTCAGGGCAAGGCAGAATTGGGAACTGTGCCCACTTAGGCCAATGCCCCTCCTGTGAGCACACTGCTCAAGGCAATGGAACTAAACTCTCTGCAACAGTGTTTGCTGCCCATGGCCAGCACACTAGGCTGCCACTGCCTACCCATCCCTCTTTTCAGATACCTGAAGCATCCCACAGGCCACTGGACAGCCTCTGCTGATGGAGGAGCATATCCATCAGATGAAGAGCATCTTTCAGAACATTTTTTACTTAAGACCTATGGTGTGCATCCTATCTTGGAAAGTCAGAATATAAGAGAAGAGATGACATAACTGAACACCTGCTCTCTGTTGTCAGGGCAGTTCCATGATAGACGGTTGCCTCCTGTGAGCCCAAGGCTGAGGTGCATCCCTCTGTTGTTCACTGTGCTCTCCCAGACACCTGTAGTCAAGCCCTGGAACTTGGGATCATCTCTTCTTGACAGGTCTTTGTCCAGGTGCTGAGGTCTAGGTTCAGCTGCCTGCCCCAATGGACTCTGTTCTACTGCCCCTGACCCATCTCCATGTCCAGCTGTAAACTGTGCATGGCACATGCAGGCATGCAGGGCTAGCTGCAGTGCCTACCTACCAGCAGTAAGTCCATGGTGTTGAGCCGACAGAGCTCCTGGTTGATGCTGGGTGTGTTTGTGTGCAGCAGTGCAGCCATGAGGCGTGCACCATGCAGTCGGGCATTCCCCAAGGGCTCCTCCAGAACACCAATAGTGGTCAGGATCGCTTTTTTCTGCAAACACAGGAGGCACAACCCAGTTGAATCCACGTGATCAGCATGGCCACTACTCCACTATGTGACCAAGCCTAGAGGAGTAAGGTATGTATGTGTGGTTAATCAAGGCAGGGCTGCTTGCAAGAGGAAATAAAGGGATACACAGGGTAAAAAACCCACTGCTCTCCTCAGGGCCACAGAATGAGCAAGGAAGACTGACAATTCCTAGGAAGCCCAGGGACTCTCATCTGAACCTGCAAGGCCAAAGGGCTGGGCACCATGGCATATGAGATATATCCAAGATAAGACTAGTGATACCAATCTGAGGATGGGAAGACCTGCCATGGGTTGGAGCCCCTCACATGAGGCTTGGCTATAGATGCCTGTGGCTTTTGTCAGGGCACAACATCAGAACACTGAGCAAATGGATGCCCAATGAACATTCCCAAAGGACACCTCATCAGGCTAGATTCCAGTATTTTTTGGTCCCCCCACATGCAGTATAATGTGGCTACTTCTTCATTAAGTGAGTGTTCCAGGCTGACAAAATAGAATCCCTGTCTCCAAGAAGCTTACTTGCAGTAGGGGAGGCAGACAATAAACAAGTTGGTAAGTTAGGGTAGGTGTACCAGGTAAAGGGATGGGACTGTGTCTGGGAGAGGTTGTAATGTGATGCTGGAAGGACAAGTAGGGAGCCCTGACAAACAGTGGGGAGTGATGACCTTGAGTACTTCATCTTCTTCAGCACAGTCCAAACATGCCCAGTTACTGAGTGAGCAAAGGGCTTGCCTGGCCCTCCAGGAGCTGAGCAGCCTTTGGGTAAGTGCCTCCAACTTAGAGGATGATCCGATAGTGACCTCAGGCTCTGCAAAATGTGCCACTCCCAGGCTTCTCTTATGAAGTCAGAGATGTACACTCCTGGGGGGGTTACCTAGAAAGCATGTTTTGGCATTTGCCCAGTAGTTCTTAAAGTGGAAGTCTGGGAAGGGCAACTTGATCAATGGTGAGATCCTCTCCTTGCACATTACTCCACTATAGTGTCTCCAAAGGTCCCAACAGCCATTTACCTTTGGTGGGTTGAGCAGGAGCTGGTGGAAGTCCTTCAGCCATGGCTCAATGCCATGCAGGACACTGCTTCTGACAGCATACGACCTTTCCAGTCCCTGAGAAAAGGAGTCCACCAAACCCTCTGTCCTGTGGATGATGACAGCAGATGGAGCCTTGGCAGATGCACCCATGCCCTATGCACACCTCATTTACCCTGCCAGTCAGTGTTCAACTCATCATCTTCCCAAAAAAACTCTTTAATTTTCCCAAAAAGAAATCTTAACAGTGATACTATTCAAGACTTCCACACATAGTGATTGGTGCAGAGAAGAGAAGGGCTCCCAGGGTCCTTAGCAAAACATTTCCTGGTGAGATCCAAGAGCAAAGGGCAAGGGAAAGTGACACAGGACTTGCTGACTTGCTGCCCCTCAGCCCCTAGTGGGGCCACTCCCTCCTCCTGCTTTGAAAATATTCACTGTTGTCCCCAGTCCTTGGCCAAGAGACATGAGATGGACTGGCCACATGGTTTGTTTGCTTTTTCAAGCAAATTTCTCTGAAATATTTATTTAAACACCTTGTCTAATAATAAAAGTAACACAAGATCGCTACAGAAAAATCCTAAACACATAAAAGGATAAAAAAAGTAAAGAGAAATAGTTGGTTCTTCTTTGTTTTCCTAATTTTTACTCTATCCCCTCCATCACATGCAGGTTTGGGACTGGCCCTCAGAAGTGGCCCAGGCTTCCTGAATTTGTTAAAATAATCAATATTCCAGTTGCCTAAGTAGAGAAAAAGATTATCTATTCTTAGGTAATAAACTAGTAATGATGTATATATAGGTAGTGAAAAAGAGAGAAGATGAATACACGGAGGGAGAGAGGGAGAGAGGGGGGTGGTGGGGAGAGAGAGAGAGAAAGAGAGAGAGAGAGAAACTTTAAATAGCCTTACTACCAAGATCAAGGCAATTTTCTTTTTTCTTTTCTTTTCCTTTTTTTTTTTTTTCAGATACTGGGGCTTGAACTCAGGACCTTCACTTTGAGCCACTCTACCAGTCCTTTTTTGTACAGGGTATTTTCGAGATAGGGTCTCGTGAACTGTTTACCCGGGCTGGCTTTGAGCATGATCCTCCTGATCTCTGCCTCCTGAGTGGCAAGGATTACAGGCATGAGTCATAGGCACCCAGTGCCAATTTTTTATTTATCTTTTTTTCTTTAAAAAAAGAACAAAACACAACACAGGCTATCAGTATCAAAGGATAATGAAGATCTCCCGATCATGTGGAAATAAGAGGATTGTGGTCCCCTTGAGAGAGTCAGACCACTACCCCAGCATGTGATGGAACAGAGCATAGAGAGATGTCCCCACTGCCAGGAACCTGAATACACTGATAGAACTCCAAGACCCAGGGGAGAGGTTGAGAGGGGAAATGCCCAGAAATACCAATACTCTCCTCTGCTGCTTCCATTTAGAGCATGCCCTATAGGGTTCCCTGGGCCAATGAACCCAACCACTGACTCTCTACACCCTGCCATCACTCATCTGTGGCTCACAGGATGTCAACAGATTGTCTCATCTGTCCAGGAGTCTGTAACTAGGGCTGTGCCCAGTCTGCTGGAACCGGAGAGCCAGACTGGCCAGTGAAGTTCCATCCACCAGCCCCATGTGGACTCTCCTCATGGACTCCCTGACACAGGGTGCCTGTATATTGCACTTTCCATACCACATCTGATCTCCTAGTTCAGACAGGGAGCAATGCTGATCTCCTAGTTCAGACAGGGAGCAATGAAGAAGGAGGGGCCATGTCTCAATTATCTTTGTCTCCTACTGCCCCTGTGCTAGCAACACGGTAGAAGTTCAAATAATACCTGATGAATGAGAAAGAGAATGGAGGATAGTCCCCTGAAACAAAGTGCCTGATTCAATACTCAGCAACTAGTTTAGCATGTGTGTTCATGGGGCTTAGGAGACAGAGATAAATACAGCATACTCCCTGCCCGGCCACTAGAGATAAACAAGTAAACAAGTAGTCAGAGTGGAAGCCCTATAGCAGGTACATATGTGCATGCACCCATGAACTCCACAGTTCATGCCAGAAAAATCTTGAGGAAAACCACACCTATTCTATATATAACTAAGTGCACTGCAAACTGGCAGCAGTGGATGCCTTGAGGCTGTGCTGGAATCATGCTTGATGGTGAGGGTCAAAGAGGACTTGGCCACAGCCATACAGTTGATCTTTTCAACCAGAGGTATCTATCCACATTATGACTTGCATAAACAATAGTTAACTAAAAACACAACATGGCCCAGCTACTCTCTGGGTACCCAAATTTTGCCACACAGAAGCAGCTTATACCACTTTCCCAGGGAGAGGCTCACCCAGCCCGCCTTGGTTCCAGCAGGGCAAGCAGCACCTGTGTCCCGCTGACCAGGCAGCTCTCCGTCTGGTCTTCATAAAACATGTTCTTCAGAAGTTGCTCCACACAGTCCTGCCTGTGGGCACATGAGGAAGTCATTGCTTGACAGAGCAGATGCACAGACATGACTGGAGGACACTCTCTTCTCTACAGGGCCCTGAGATGCCCTAAGCCAGGAGAGGCCACATTCTGGGTTTGGTCAGCCTCAAAGCCAGGGGCCCATGGGTTGGAGATGTGGCTCAAGTGGTAGAGCACTTGCCTAGCAAGTTCAAAGCCCTGAGTTCAAACCCCAGTACCATATATACACACAAAAAAAGATGCCCAGTGCTCACACAATGGTCTCGCCTGCTGGCCCCAGCTCTCTGGACCACCAGGGGACATCCCTGAGCTCTGAACCTGGGGAGCTCATCAGACTCTATATCAGAGGCAGCAGCATCTTCTGCACTCAAAGGAAGGTTGCAAGATATCCCCATGACTTAAGAGTGAGGCCCACCACACGGTGGCCCACCAGCACTCACGACTCCAGCGCAGTGAGGAGAGGGTCCTGCTCCAGGGTCTCTTGCAGCTGACTACCCTGGTCTCTGCCCAGCCTGACAATGTCACAGAGTGCCTGAGAAGCATTTGACTGCCTCTGAAAAGATACAGAAACAGACCCTCAGCCAAGGAGAACTGCCAGCAGAGCTAGCTGCTGGGCAAACTGCCACTCATGCTGGTAATAGACTTGGACTTTGAAGCAGTTTTCTACAAAGATTCCAGATCAATAGGTTCACTTCAAAGCAGTTTGAATATGTTTTTTCCACTGTCAAGATGGTTAGACTGGTTGGATATTTTTAAAGCTGTACTGAACCATCCCCAGGAATTCAAAATTGGACCCAAAATGGCCAACTATGTTATACCTCCCTTGGTCGTTGCTTTACACATTTGATCCATGTTTTAAGATACACTAACAATGTGACTATGTTGTTGATTTTGTATTTTAAATTTAATAAGTAGATATTATTTTTAGAATGAGTCCTGTGATCTAAGGAAAACAGGGAAGCTGCTACAGAAAAAAATAGGACTCAACTTTCCTAGGAAAACATGAATACTACTCCCACATATGACTCCAATGTATACTTGCCAATAACATGGAGGGTGTTCTGTGGGGGTGGATAAGCATGTTCAAGAGAGAAACAAGCCTGACCCCCTGCAGCACTGTGCACTCACAGTGGGAAGACTGAGGTCAAAGAAATACTTGCATGACTACTTCAACTCACCCCAGGAAGCCAGCAACCTCAGAATGAGCTCCCCTTCCCTACTGAGAGGCCCACATGGCACAGAGCTGAGGGTGACCCAAGCCCCAGAGGAACTGAATGCTGCCAGGTCACTTGTGACTGCAGAAGTGGAGCCACCCCTACCCAGTACAGTCCTGAGATAACTGAAGTCTTATGAGAGACCCTGAGCAGAGGAACCATTAGGCCATGGCCAGATCCTTGATCAGATCCTTGACCAGAGAAACTGATGCTGTCAGAGATTAAAAAGTACTTGTTAATACTTCGAGGTGATTTGTTATTCAGGCATAGATAATTAGCACAATTCTGTTATAACTAACACAATTTCTGTTAGAAAATGAAAGCAGCCAGGTTGGCTTTGTGGTCTTGATGTAGACTTTGGAACTTATGCTGTGGGTGAGCTTCACCTCTCCAACAGGGCAACACCTATCCTTTATAAATGCCAACATGGTCTCTCCTAGCTGTTTGGCCAGCCCAGTGTGCTGACAGGTGACAAAGTAAAGTAGGTAGGCAGCAGTGAAAGCCTTGGACACGAAGTTAGAACCACTTTCAAAATTGCTGGGGGCAATGTACATGTGTATAAGTATTTGCAATGCATAGAAAAAGGTCTGTCAGGATATAACTCGAACTCTCAACAGTGATTACTGTAGGAAGCAGAGAGAGGTGGCTAGAAAAGGAAGCCCTATTGTTACCTGTGATATTATGATATGTATATTTTGTTTTTTATTCACAGTTTGTGGCTCATGACTTTGGCCTTGTCTTACAGTAGACCATAAGACTCTCCTCATTCTAGAAGGGTCCTGCTACGTAACTTGGAGGGGGGAATGTTACACAGAGAGGCCTGGAAGAACCTGATAGACAAGCCTTGCTGAGCCTCCTTACACAGTCTATTAGCAATCATGCCCATGCAATGAAATCTCTATAAAAAGCTTGAAAGGTCTGGTTTGTGGAATTTCTGGACAGTGGAACATATGGAGGTTCCTGGACGATAGCACCACAGACAGGACATGGAAGCTCTGTGCTCCTTCTCCCATACCTTGGCCTAAGCACTTCTTCATATGTATCATTTTTTCTCTTCTTTTCTTTTCTTTTTTTTTTTCTTTTGTTTGTAGTTCTGGGGCTCAGGGTCTACTCCTTGAGCCACTCCACCAGCCCTTTTTTTGATGGGCTTTTTCAAGATAGGGCCTTGCGAACTATTTGCCCAGGCTGGCTTCAACCTGTGATCCTCCTGATCTCTGCCTCCTGAGTAGCTAGGATTACAAGCATGAGCCACCAGAGCTCGGCTCATCAGTATCCTTTATAATAAACTAGTAAATGTAATTAAATGCTTCCCTAAGTTCTTAATTAGTTCGAGCAAACTAAATGAGCTCAAGGAGCAGAGTATAAAAAACCTAATTTATAGCTAGTTGGTCAGAGGCATAGGTAAGACAACCTGGGTCTGTGACTGGCATCAGAAAGTGTGTGTAGGGAGGGGGAGTCTTGGGGTCTGAGCCCTTGACTTGTGGGATCTGATGTTACCTCCAAGTAGAGTGTGTCAAAACTGAACTAAATTAGACAATAGTTTACTGGTATCTACTGAGAACTGATTTACTGCTTGGTTGATGGGGATATCCTTCAACACCTAGTATCAGAAATAGTCTGTGTTGTGAGAGTTCAGTAGAAGTGGGAGTTGGTTTTCACTTGTATATCTTCAGAATAACCCTGTATGCTTCTAGGGAAGCTTGTAGGAGGCCTTTAGCAATCCCCTCCTTGAATTCATGCCCTTGTAAGCCCATCTCAAGTGTGAGCTGGCTGGACTTGGGCCACTTCTGAGATAAGTTTACAGAAGTCTGACGTAGGTCCAGCTCACCCTACGAAGACAGCTACCTCAGAAGAGCCCCCTGCCCTACTGAGAAGTACACGTGATACAGAGCTAAGGGCAGCCCAGGCCAACAGCTCTTGAGGAACTAAATACTTCTAAGTCACTTGTGACTCTGGAAGTAGGCCCTTGGCATTGTTGAGCCCTGAGATGACTGCAGTCTTATGAGAGACCCTGGCCTCGTGAAGTGGCTCAGGTGGTAGAGTGCCTGCCTAGCAAGTGGGAGGCCCTGAGTTCAAACCCCAGTACTACAGATGAGAAGAGCCATGACCAGATGGAATTGGAGAACATCATTCTGAGTGAGGTTAGCCTGGTCCAAAAGACCAAAAATCGTATGTTCTCTCTCATATGTGGACATTAGATCAAGGGCAAACACAACAAGGGGATTGGACTTTGATCACAAGATAAAAGTGAGTGCACACAAGGGAGGGGTGAGGATAGGTAAGACACCTAAAAAATTAGCTAGCATTTGTTGCCCTTAACGCAGAGAAACTAAAGCAAATACCTTAAAAGCAACTGAGGCCAATAGGAAAAGGGGACCAGGAACTAGAGAAAAGGTTAGATCAAAAAGAATTAACCTAGAAGGTAACACCCACGCACAGGAAATCAATGTGAGTCAATGCCCTGTACAGCTATCCTTATCTCAACCAGGAACACTTGTTCCTTCCTATTATTGCCTATACTCTCTCTTCCACAAAATTAGAGATAAGGGCAAAATAGTTTATGCTGGGTATTGAGGGGGGAGGGGGAGAGGGAGGGGGTGGAGGGGGAGGGGGCATGGGGGAGAAATGACCCAAGCCTTGTATGCACATATGAATAAAACAATAATAAAAAAAAAAAAAGAAGAGCCATGACCAGATTCCTAACCAGAGAAGCAGATGCTGCTGGAAATAAAGTACTTGTTATAGGCAACTTGGCTTTTAGGGTGATTTGTTATTCAGCCATAAATAATTAACAAATTCTGACAGAACTGTTTTTATAATACTTATGTATTAATTTTTAGTAAAACTAAAACTGCCTAGACATTAGCACGTGACTAAAAGAAAAATATCTAATAGTCCTCATCAGAGGAAAGGAGTGACTTGCCCCACTTCAGAAAGCAGCAGCAAGTGCTTCAGCAGTCCAGTCGTGGGGGCTTCATGACAGAAAGTGAGCACTGTGAGCATCACACTCACATCTTCATCCTGACTGGGATGGATCAATTCCACAAGTCGCTGGATGATTTTCTCTTCGTTAAGCCACTGAAAGGGAAGAAAAGGCCAGTCAACATCTCTGCTCATATTTAACTAAATGGAAGAAAAGTCCTTGCATGCAGCAGAAACTCATGCAACCAGGTTTCCTGGGATAAAGAGTTTCTAGCACAACCGTCTACCCGGACCCAGGAAGAACCCAAAGGACTTCTGGGAATGGCTCAAAGAGTTTTTTGTTGGCTTGTTTGTTTTGTGGTACTGGGGCTTGAACTCAAGAACTACACCTTGAGTCAATCTACCAGTCCTTTTTTGTGGTGGGTTTTTCCAAGATAGGGTCCCCTGAACTATTTGCCCGGGCTGGCCTCAAACTGCAATCCTCTGATCTCTGCCTCCTGAGTTGCCAGGATTACAGTCGTGAGCCACCGGCACCTGGCTTGGCCCAGAGTTTAAATGGGTGGACCACCACCCATCTGTCCCAATACTGCACATGTTCTTTGTCTTAGGATACATATAAGACTAGAGTATAGATAAGCCAGAACAAGCTGGCTGTGGAAGCTAGACAAGTCTTAGCAACCTGCAGCATCAGGAAGAGTAGAGGACCCTGGTATGATCATAGGAGAGCTATTAGGGCTAAAAATCTTACAGATGGGCAGAAGCTCAATAGCTTACTTTACTCAAAATGCAGTTCAAACAAAACCTGCCCTCTGGCTGGGAACCCTGCTCTTCTCGGGACTACAGGCAGTTCCTTTTATTGCTTGACCAGCAGCATAGATATATCTCCAGAATAAGCAATGCACCTCTGCACGAACCATCATCAGCTCGTGCTTTCCTCACAGTGGTACCTGGGCTTAGAGCCCACACCTCACTGAGCATCTGCTCTAAGGTCTGGGTAGGAGCCTTGGGAGGAAAGGGCAGGAGATAAGAAAAGCCTATTATTGCTTCTGCACAGAGCAGGAGGCCAGAGTGTTGGGGTAAAAGGAACCTTCATGCTCTTTACTTCTGAATGGCTGAGGCAGGAGGAAGGGATAAACAGGATCCTTGAATGCTGAGAAACTGGGTGAAGAGCTGTGGGCTGGGCACCTGGTACTACTTAACACAGTATCACCTGGCCTCTGACCCATCCTTCCCTCAGGGATTGGGAGGGCACTTCCAGGCACTCACATGAAGGACCTCCTGCCGGAGCCCAGCTGGCTCCACACAGCTGACCAGGCGCAGAAGCAGGTCCATGAGAGCTGAAGTGCCCATGTGCTTCAGCACTAGGCTGATGAACTTGTCTTTCTTCTTCAAGAACATAATCACCTGAAATCAAACACACCTGATAAGCAAGCAGGACCAATTGGGGAATACTTCCTCTGAGAACCTGAATGAGAAAGATTACCTTTCAATTATATTGAAAAGACCCAGAAAAAAACTATAAAAAAGACCCCTTCCCAGAGCAGGTATTGTCTTAGAGGGCAGTGGTGCAACCAAGAGTGGCAATGCCCAGATGAGGTTCTGTGCTAACAGCATGCAATGTCCTGAGCAGGACAGCACAGGCTGCTGTGCATAGCCATATACTGGATCAAGTTTTTACAATAGAAAACAAAGGTACAGACAGAGCAGAGCTGGGAAAAGAGGGTCATTATTGATAACCCCCAGGCTTGGAACACAAACCCCAGGGGCAACACAACCTACAAGATGGGCTGACAGAAACCCGTATGTGGCTGAAGGGAAAAGAAGACAGAAAGAAGAAAAAGAAATATACAGTTGGCTGACAGACATGGGGGAGGAAGGGTCAGAACCCATCAAGGATATGGTGGATTGCTTGGGAATTGGACAACAAGTGAGTAGTAATAGAAGTGGAGAAGCCTGGACTGAATCTCTTTCTGCTACATATCTGAAAACTAAGCCAGATCAGTCATAGATGAAGGGCCCTCTATGTCCAGATGACTGGACTGGGGGTGGGATAAATCTAACACTCTACTGGGGACATGAGAACATGGAGAAGGCAAACCAGGGGTGGAGGGAATCTCAACCATGCTCGTTGGTGCTGAGATAATGCTGTGGGGTTTGAATGTGTTCCCCAAATTTCATGTATTGAAAACTTAATCCCCAAAGTCATGTGTTAATAGTATTTAGAGGTGGGGCCTTAGAAAGGTGATTAGGCTTAGATGAAGTCAGGAAGGTAGGGCCCTTATGATTGCATTAATAGCTTTATAAGAAGAGAAAGAGATTGCTCTGTCTGTCCATATGATGCCCCATGCATCCTCTGGACTCCACTCTCACCAGATGAAGCCTCTTGACCTTGGACTTTCAGCCTCCAGAACTGTAAGAAATAAATTTCTTTATAGATTTCCCAGTTTGTGGAATTCAGTTATAGCAACAGAAAACAGAGTAAGACAGGTGAGGAGGAAGATGGAAGAACAGAAAAGGGGGAAGAGGAGGAAGAAGGAGAAGAGAGTAATGGAAGAAGAAAGCGAGGAGGAAGGCACTATGAAAAGAATGATTAAATTCCTGGAGAAATAGACTAAGAACAAGATAGAGAAGGTGAAAGTAACAGTATCAGGACTGAGCTGGGCATGGTGTCACACACCTATAATCCCAGGTGGCCAGGCTATCCTGGGCTACATAGTGAGACCCTGTCCCCCCTGCCCTCAAAAGAAACAAGGGACAAAAAAACATCAGTACAGAACCTACAGATATAAAAATAATGAGGAGTTAATGCAAACAGCTTTATGCAATTTGTATAAATTTAGAAAAATGAATTTCCTTGAAAAAATATGATCTAAACTGATCGAAGAAAATAGAAAATCTGAATCATTCTAGAACATCAGAAGAAATGGAATTTGACTGAAGTCACTGAGCTCTCCAGGCTCTAACAGCCTTGCCAAAAAATTCTGCCAGACTCAAAAAAAGAATCCCATCTGATATAGACTCTTGCAGAGAACATGAAATAAAGGACTATGCCCCATATAATTGTATAAGGACAAAAAAACCTTGATTGTAAAGCCTGATAAAGGCATTATAAGAAAGGGAAATTATAGGTCAATCTCACTGAAGATTATAGGTACAAAATCTAGCAGTTTAGAAGCAAAATATACCATAACCAAGTTGAGTGTATTCCAGGAATGTAAGATTCTTTTAACACTAGAAAACCAATCAGTATAATTTAACTATTAATATAGCAGAAAAAAAATCCTTTGAGCTGATGGCTCACGCCTATAATCCCAGCTACTTAGGAGGCTGAGAACAGGAGGACTGTTGTTCAAGATCAGTTCAGGGAGTAAGTTAGAGAGACCCCATTTAACAGAAAAAAGCTGGGTGTGGTAGGACATACCTGTCATTCCTACTATGGCAGGATTAATAAAGTAGGAGGATTGTGGTCCAGTCTAGCCTGGGTAAAAAGCAAGACCCTATCTCCAAAATAACAAGAGAAGAAAGGACTGAAAACATGGCTCAAGCAGTAGAGTACCTGCCAAGCAAGTGCAAAGCCCTGAATTAAAAAAAAAAAAAAAAAAAAAACAGTACCATCCCCCAAAAAGAAAAATCCTGCCAGGTGACAGTGGCTCATACCTATAATCCTAGCTACTCAGGAGGCAGAGGTAAGGAAGATGATGGTTTGAAGTTCATAAGACCCTATCTATCTCAAAAAAACCCATCACAAAAAAGTGCTGGTGGAGTAGCTCAAGGTGTAGGCCCTGAATTCAAACCCCAGTAACCACCCCCAAAATCCTATGATCAACTCAACAGATAAAGTAAAAACATCTCATCAATTTAAACAGGCATTAATGCTATAAACTTTTAAAAAACTAAGAATGAAGAAAACTCCCTTAAGTCTTTTTATATGTATGTGCTGGTGATTAAACCCAGGGCCTCACACATACTAACTAAGCACATGCTCTACTACTAACCTATAACCCCAGATCCTAAGGCTTGATTTCAAAAAACAACTTAAAACTTTGCAAAAACATCTTGATTTTTTTTAAAAAATAAAAACAGTCCCACAACATTTATTGTCATCTGATAATAACATATGGGTCATCAAAACTATGCAAAAATGAGGTCTCAACAATAGGTATCATCAAAAAAATATGAACACATGTTTTACAACTATATTTTCAGCAAAGAACACCTAAAGAAAAACTGTAGAGGATTCTTAACTTCTCATTTCATTGGTAATTTCTAGTTGGAGACACTTTGTAGCAGAGTAATATTATCTCCATTCATTTATTTAGTTTATTTGGCAGTAATGGGGTTTGAGTTTAGGGCCTCATGTTTGCTAGGCAGGCACTCTACCACTTGAGCCACTCTGCCAGCCTATATTTCCTTTTAGCATGATCTGACCTGGCTGTTCTCTTGACTTTGTTTTAGAATGAATTTCTTCTGTATCATCTAACACAAGGTTCATATACTCCTCAAAACTAAAAATACGGCCATCTGTTAGCATATTCACTTGCTCATAGAGCCATACCTGAATCCAAGATCTACTTTGTGAATATCTGAAGATGAGGTTGATGGGCTGCACCATCACTTTCTGCAAGTTTTGGCCCTGGCTGTGGTATACCATGATGAAATTTCACATACACCATGCCTGACCAACATGGAACCTCAGAAAGTAACTTCTGTAATTATGAACTGGAAGCAGAAGTACAAACATCTTACTTAATTGCAAAATGAAAGCTTTTCCTCTGAGATAATAAATAAAACAAAGAGGTCCACCATCACAATTTCTATCCAACATTGTACTAAATGTTTCAGCCAATGCGATAAGGCATGAAGAAGAAATAAAAAATACACAAATTGTAAAGGACAAAAAAACAACCTGTCATTAATCACAAATGATGTGATCTTATACATGAATAAAACCAAAAAATATAAAGGTAAATCATCAGAATTAATAATAGCTTTATTTATCATCATCAAAAAACTGGGAATAGTAGCAAGATGCCGGTGGCTCATTCCTATAATCCTAGCTACTTGGGAGGCAGAGATCAAAAGGATTGTGGTTTGAAGCCAGCCTGGGCAAATAGTTCAAGAGTCCTTATCTTGAAAATACTCAACACAAAAAAGGTCTGGCAGAGTAGCTCAAATGATAGAGCATCTGCCTAGCAAGCATAAAGCCCTGAGTTCAAACCCCAGTACCACCAATAATGAAATAAACAAAATGGAAACAGCCTAGATATCCTTCAACACATGAATGGTTAAATAGACTGGTATGCATCCATACCAGGTAATATTAACAGCAATAAAAAGGAATAAGATATTGATACATATTACTTTGATGAATCTAGAGGAAATTATGCTAAATAAATAAGCTAATTCCCCAATACTACAAAATAAAAGACTAAAAAACAGGGTATAGGGGTTAGGGTTGTAGCCCAGTGGTACAACACTTGTCCTGGGTTTGATCCCCAACTCTGAAAAAAAAAATGTACACAAAGCAATTTGAGTATTAACTAATACAACTCCCAAGGATTCATAAGGAGAAGGCTGAAGCATACCAGAGCAGGCTCAGCCATGCCTGCCTACAGCCTTATCCAACCACAGCTGCATCTGCACAACTTGCACCTTAAGAGTGTTTTTTTCTTTGTTTGTTTTATAATTTTAAAGTGTTACAAAAAACAAAACCAAAAAAGTAAGAAGAATATGAGGCAGAGATTATTGATGACCCATAAAACCTAATGTATTTACTATATGGCCCTTGAAGGAAAAACTTGCTGAGCCCTCATCCAGAGATACCACAGGAATGTAAATGATAAAATAAATCTCAATCAAACAAACCAATTTTGAAAAATTTTAGGAAATCATCAGAGCAATTTTCATACACATTCATATTCAATGACATTAAGAACTTATTAATGTTTTGGGAAAGATAATGGTATGGTGGTTATGCTTGTGAAAGACTCCTTATCTTTTAGGAATACATAATGAGATACATATAAAATGATCCAGTGTTTGGAATTTGCTTCAAAATAATCTGGTACAGGAGTTGGAAAAAAGGGGGTTTAGAAGAAATAAGATTGGTCATGATGGATAGTGTGAAAGCCTGGTGACAGACATGGGATACATAAACTGTTTTATCTAGCTTATATTGAAAGAACTGTCAGTCCTTTTCATGACAGTCCCTCTCTGGGCTACTCTACAGTTTTAGGAAACAAAGGAGGAAAGCTCACTGCAGCCCCAACAGTCACAGCCAACCCTGGAAATAAGTCAACTCCTAGATGATTGACATAAAACAAGAGACAGTGTTTGCCAAAAAGAATAAGGTAGGTATACAGGGAAAGGTGTACAAGATCTATATATGTGAAAATTAGCAACTACATGTTAGCATGTCTACTGGAAAACTTAAGTAGAACATGCATTAAATAATCAACAATAGTGCCGACACTGTAGCTCAGCGGCAGAGCACATGCCTCCCACCCCTGAAGACCTCGGTTCAAGTCCCACCCCTGCAGCAAACTCAACAAAACAATAATAATATAATGAAAGTGATTTCCCCAGCAATTTAAAAAGAAATCAACAATAGTTATCACTAGAAAGTATCATAGGAGATTTCAGTTTTGTTTGAATTTCATATAAATGTGTTCCACATGTATCAACGGAATAATTTTTTTTTTTTTGCAATACTGGGGCTTGAACTCAGGGCCTACACCTTGAGCCACTCCACCAGCCCTTTTTTTTTTTTTTCATTTTTCTTTTATTATTCATATGTGCATACAAGGCTTGGTTCATTTCTCCCCCCTGCTCCCACCCCCTCCCTTACCACCCACTCCGCCCCCTCCCTCTCCCCCCCCCTCAATACTCAGCAGAAACTATTTTGCCCTTATTTCCACCAGCCCTTTTTTGTGAAGGGTTTTTTCGACATAGGGTCTCTAGAACAATTTGCCCTAGTTGGCTTCGAAACAGGATCCTCCTGATCTCTGCCTCCTGAGTAGCTAGGATTACAGGCGTAAGCCACTGATGCCCAGCTAAAAATATTGGCTTTTTCTTTTCTTTTTTTACTGGGGTTTGAGCTCAGGGCCTCACACTCATGAGACAGGTGCTCTACTGCTTGAGCCACTCCACCAGCCCCGAAATAAAAATTTTAAGAGTTCAGCCAAGTCATGCATGTAATTTCAGCACTTGGGAGACTCAGGCAGGAGGATCAGTTTGAGACCAGCCTGGGCTACATTGGAAGACTCTGTCCAAAAACACTAAAAAAATTTTTTAAGAGATCAGTTCATATTGCTTTAATGCATTAAGCACAGGGTAAATGAAGTATGCATGAGCACACATGCAGGCATACACACACATACCAGCTGCTACTCTTTTCTATTGCTTCAAAAAACAGATGTGAGGTGAAACAGTCCTCTAGGGTCTCCTGCAAATCTTAAATTTACGATATGACTAAAGATGATACTCCCCCTAACTATTCACAACATGTTGGCAGAATTTCCTCAAGGGAAACAATGACCTTTCTCAGGGCTCAAGACACAGACACAAAGTATTGGCTTGTTCCCTGAATGGATACTTGGTAATATTAAACAATTACAGCTATATTTTGGGGGTATAAAAATATTTAGCAATATTTAAAAGAAGTAAGTCCTTATAACTTAGAGATCAATACTGAAACATTTTAAAAAGAAATGATCTGCTGGGCCCTGGTGGCTGACACCTGTAATCCTAGCTACTCAAGAGGCACAGATCAGGAGGATTGCAGTTCAAAGCCAGCCTGGGCAAATATGAGCGAGAGAGAGAGAGAGAGAGAGAGAGAGAGAGAGAGAGAGAGAGAGAGAGAGAGAGAAAAGAAAATTAAAAAAATGATCTGATGTCTAAGATATTTTGAAATAATACAGTGAGGATGGATGACTGGTGATGAGAGGAAATATGGACTGCTGCCATCAGGCACAGGTAGCATCAAGGCCTCTCCTGTCCATGTCCTCAGTGTAGAAGGGCTGAAGCCTGTGTCAGATAGCACGTAAGGCAAGAGAAGGACCATGCTACACCTAAAAGATGAATTCACTCTCCAGCCTAATGCTGGACATTATCTTTTGTTTGCTTTGAATCAGTAAGTGCTCTGAACCCACAGACATGCCTCCTACATGGACAAAGCACAGACCTGAGATGGTGGACAGCTGAGGTCCAGCTACAATGACCTCAGACCTGTGCTTGACTGGTGATAAGATGAGCTGGCCCAGTCTAGGGTCCTGCACAGCACCCAGGGAAGGCAGAAAGTGCTGCTTATTCCACAGCTGACCATCAGAAACATCCTAGGGAAATTTACTTTTTTACTCAGACTCTAATTTACATATCAACCACCCAAACTGCTCCGCATGTGTCCTGTGAACCAATCAAAATGCTGTCCCAATAGACTGATGACAGCTTCAAAGTGATTGCAGTCATCATATACACCTGACTCCACACATCATTACCTGTTCAGTTTTCCTTGCAATGAGATTGCCAATGGTCTTGCTGAAGAAACTGGCAAGCAGAGGGTTGAGTGGTGGCTCTTGGTCCAGAAAGTCATACAGAAGGTTCAGCAGACTCTCATCCCCTCCTAGTCTGTCGCTGATCTGTGGCACATCACAAGTCAGAAGCTCACAGGCTGTGTTTGGGTATCTAAAAGGGCACAATCCAAGCAATGGAGGTGAGGGCTGGCAGAATGGCTCAAGTGATAAGAGCACCTGCCTAATAAGCATGAAGCCGAGTTCAAACCCCAGTGCTCCCAAAAAAAAAAAAAAAAAAAAGAAAACAAGCACTGGAGGTAAAATTAGACTTCTCTCAGGTAGCTACTTAAGTTATTTGCTTCTTAGGCAGCACATGCATGTGATAAGAGCAAAGCACTGAACAGACCTCAGAGCAGAATGAGGACAATGTTAGCCTGTGACCAACTGGTATTTTTAATTACTAGATGCACAACGTTTTTATATACCTTTTATGAGCTCCTCATACCCTATACTCTGATATCCTTCATTTTCTGACCCTACTTCCATTCTCTAAATAACCTTTTTAAATCTCCTGGCTTCTCCTCTCTTCGGGCCTTCATACTCACCTGCCAGGTCTCTCACCTCACCTCCTATCTACCCACCATCTCAATGAACCCAAGTCCCACTCATGTTCATCCTTTCCTCTCTATCTTCCCCATGTCCTTGTCCCTTCCTATCAACAAGCACAGACACCAACTGTCCTAGGGCAGAGAAATATCACCTGCCCAACAGCCCAGGATGGGGACATCTGTTTAGTACTCAAATCAGAGCCCTCAACAGCAGCACTAGTAATAAGGCTTGTGCTCTGTCCCTCACCTGGGTGCATCTGGGAATTCTGGGCAGTATGCACAAGATCCAGCAGGCTGGAACCCAGTAGGAGCATCCCAAGCATCTGTCTTGGGATAGGACTGTGCCCCATGTTGAGCCAATTCCCTTACTGTCTGAGTCCTCTCATCTGATCATGGAGGTAAGGGTCATGCCTGCCTCATAGGCTTCTGTGAGGGGACAGGGCTAATATGTAAAGTGCAGAGTGACACCTGGCACACAGGATGAAGTTGATTAAGGTCAGATGCTATAACCTTTCCTTGCCAACATGTGGCCAGTGCCTAAGTCAAGGTAGTCACAGCAGCTGGGGGTGGAGGGTGAATTTGACTCTAGAGGGAACAGCTGGCTAAACATGGTGGCCATCCATGTGTAGAAGGAGAAGAAACAGCTCTCAGCTGCCCATAAGGTGGGTGCTCTTCTTCAACCCTCACAATAGGTAGCAGCCTTCAGAGCTGCTAGGGACTTTCAGTCACAAAGGTCCAACAGCAGGAAGCTAAACAAGCAGGCCAAGGAACCTGAGAGAGGTGTGGTCAGTGTTTAGAGAATGGTAGGCTGGGTGGGGAGAAAGGTGGCCTGAGGGCTGGGTCAGGATAAGTCTAACCCCCTCACTGAAAAAAGCCAATCTCTCTGGCTTTCAGTGTCCTTGTCTGTAAAATGGTCCAGTCATTGCCCACCCATTGAGACAATTGTAAGGTCGGACAACACATGGCCACTGAGGGCAGGGGGACCAGAGAGCAGGGTAAGAAGGTCAGGTTGGCAGTACTGAAGGCTACAATGAGGCTCTACATCTACCAGATCTCTAAAGAACAAGACACAATGTGTAGAACAGTGGGGAGAAGTCTAAGTCCATGGGGTAAGGAAGCAAAGAAAAGGACAGACCACTCCTTGAAATGTTTCTAGAGTCCAGAGAACATCCTAATCTTGTCCACAAATGGAGCAGACAGAGCTAGAAGAATCTAACTCCTAAGGTTATATCTAGGTGGAAGGACTAAGATTTTTCTCCTTTTTATCTCTATTTTATAATTGCAAACAGGCACTGCTATGGTAGTTTAAAAAATTTATACAAGGACTAGAAATTCTAATTAAACATGGCAGATGAAGCACACAGGCTTGTTGATACTCCCTCTCGAACTCTTACTCAAGTAATGCAAAGAAAAGACAAGAAAAGGAACTGAATATAGTACAATGGTAGAGCACTTGCCTTCCAAGCAGGAGGCCTTGGGTTCAATACCCAAATACACACACCCAAACACACGTAAGAAATTATGCTAGACTAGGCCTGGAAGATACAGAGTAGCTGGCCAAGTCCAGGGAAAACAGAACATCAGGTACACCACCACAGAAGGTGATACTAACTAGAAGTGAAGGTTTAAGCCTCACAATTCTAGAGAGTCTTGTCCACTAAGACAGTGACTGGTAAGGGCAGGGTAGGCTGGAAACTACCACAGAGCAGGATATAAAATCATTGCTGGAAAAACTGGACCAGATCTGCTCCTGATTCAGGGACACAAGACAGAGTAGAAGGGTGATTAGATGCTAGCCAGAAATAGGGGACTTGGTAAAAACAACATTGGGTGCCTCCAGCCCCTCTTCTTCTTTTTCTTTTTAGTGGTACTGGGGTTTGAAATCAGAGTCTCGTGTTTGCCAAGCACTCTACCACTTGAGCCATGCCCCCAGCCTTTTTGTTTTAATTATTTTTCTGGTAGGTTGGGGTCTACCTGGCCCAAGTGGTAGAGCGCCTGCCGAGCAACCATGGAGCTCTGAGTTCAAACCCTAGTGCTGCCAAAAAAAAAAAAAAGAAGAAAAAAGAATGATAGGACTATTTTTTAGGTAGGGTCTTACATTTTTTTGGCTGGACTGGCTGGGCTGTGATCCTCCTACTTATGTCTCCTGAGTAGTTGGGATTACAAACAGGAGCCACTACACCCAGCTACCCAGTTAGATTCTCTTCTTGAGTCAGCTCCCAGGATGCTAATAGGTCTACGCCCCATAGGTAAAAGGTAGAAGGATTCTTCTCTGAAGGAAATGCTGGGACATAGAGAAAAGTGAACTAGCTGTTATCTAACCAAACAGCCAGGGAACAATCACCTGTGGTGAAGCTTGCAATGAGCAAACCCCAGTCAGATCCCAAACTCTGTGCAGGATTTAGGGCCTTTTTTTTTTTTCTTTAGATAGGGTTTCACTGTCTCACAAGGCTGGTCTTAAACTCCTCAGTGTAAGTGATCTTCCTACCTCAGCCTCCCAAGCATAGGATTACGGATGTGTACCACAACAGGGCCTCAGTCCTTTTTTTTGATGGTACTGGGGTTTGATCTCACAGCTTCATGCTTGTTAGGCAGACACTCTACCACTTGAGCCACTCTGCCAGCCCTTTTTTGCGTTGGATATTTTCAAGATAGGGTTTTGTGAACTATTTGCATGGGCTGACTTCAAACCACAATCCTCCTGATCTCTGCCTCCTGAGTAGCTAGAAGCTTCCAGTACTTGGCCCCAGCTTTTTTTCTGTTAGTTTTTTTTTTAGGTAGACTTTCATGTTTTCACCTGAGGCCAGCCTCGTGATCCTCTTGCGTTTTGGATTGCAGGAATGAACCACCATGCCCAACTTATTTGTAGAGATTGGGTCTCACTATTTGCCCAGGCTGGCCTCAAACCACAATCCTCCTGATCATTGCCTCATGAGTAGCTAGGAGTACAAGGGTGCCCCATGCTCTTCCCTGGGCCTCACTCTTGAAAGGGTACATTGCTGACAGACAAAAGACAAGAGTGAGCACAGAGACCAGAAGAAAACTTAAAAAAAGTTGTAATAGTCTCAAAGGCAACATGATACACGAAATGCATGATACAGAAATAAGAACCAGGCTTTTATTAAAACATCTGAGAGCTGTATATGGGTCAATAGACCCAGCACATGGGAGGCTGAGACCAGGAGTTCAAGACCAGGCTAGGCAATATAGCTAGACCCCCATCTTAAAAAAGTCTGAGGATAAGAAAGAGAAAATTTAAAATATGGCTGGAGCCAGGTGTGGAGGTGCATACCTAGAATCCTAACACTTGGGAGGCTGAGGTAGGAGGATCTCAAATTTGAGTTAGCCTTGGCTTACATAGCATAAAGCTGTCTCAAAAAAAAAAGTTAAAAATAAGGTGGTAGAAATTTCAAACATTAGTAAAATAATGGGAACATAAAAGTTGAATTTCTCAGGGTTGGGGAGGTAGCTCAGTTTTTAGTGTTTTCCTAGCATGCAGAAGGCCCTGTATTCAATACCCAGTATCAAAAAAAGGTTAAATTTCTCAGATGTAACCAAAAAGATGAAAACAGCAAGAACAAAAATAAGAAGAGAAGGGCTAGGTTGTAGCTCAGTGGCACAGCATTTGCCTAGCTTATGCAAGGCCCTGGGTTCAATCCCTAGCACCATAAGGAAAAAAAAAAAAAAGAAGAGAAAGTATTAATTCAGATGATCTAACACCCAATTAGATGTCCCAGAAAGAAAGAGCAGAGGGAAAACAGGACAGGAAAAGAAATAAAAAAAGAAATTTCCCTGACATGAATATACAGATTGAATGGGTCCATGAAGTACCTAGCACAATAAGTGAATAAAAAAAGACATCTGATGTTGACCTTGTTATGAATATGTAAGTGCTGCTCACAACTGAGATGATGTGTCTACTTTAGTTATACCTGCGTACTTGCATCAGGTTCCCTGAGGGTCATAAGTCTCATTGTTTTGTTTCCGTTAGCTTTGTACTCATCCATTACTAATTTCTCTCAAACTTGTCTGACTGCAATCCTCTCAACTTATTGACACTGTCCTGAGACTCCTTGTGACCTAGAAGATTCCCAGCTGTACTCTTCTCATACCTGTCACCTTGTTCTAACTTGTCACCAGACTGGGAGATATACGGGAATGAGAAGGATGGGGGTTTGTGAATAGCGATGTTGAAACCACAGCAGCCTCTAGCTCTAGTCATCCTATCCCGAAGCCCTTGGCTCCTCCACAAGCAAGCTCCTGCTCTTCTTAGAACTTTGCCCCCATTGTGAGGCTCCTTTGTCAGAGACAACTTGGCTGACTATCCTAGATGAAGTACTGCCCTATCATCCGGGCCTGCCCTGTTTTCCTCCAAAGGACAAAGTCAACAAAGACTTGCAATGAAATATTTTTGTTGATCTCTTTTATAACTGGACTCTGCATTGTATATAGATGAATATGGCATGCCCAGTAAAACTCTATTGGTGGACACCAAAAATGTACATTTCTGGCTAGGTGCAGTGGCTCACATCTGTAATTCCAGCTACATGGGAGGTGGAGATCAGGAGGATCACAGTTTGAGGCTAGCCTCAGGCAAAATCACAAGTCCTAACCTGAAGAACTACTAAAGCAAAAAAAGGCTGGCCCTTTTTTGGTAGAGCACCTGCCTAGCAAGTAAGAGGTTTTGAGTTCAAACTCCACTATGGCAAAAAAAAAAAAAAAGCAAATTTCATGTCGTGAACATGTGTAACAAAGCATTCTTCCTCTGATTTTTTTCAACCATTTAAATATAGGGCTGGTAGAATAGCTCAAGTGGTAAGAGCACCTGCCTAGCAAGTATGAAGCCCTGAGTTAAAACCCCAGTGCCGCCAAAAAAAAAAGTAAAACCTACCAGGAATGGTGCACACCAGTAATCCCAACATTCAGGAGGCTAAGGCAGTAGGATTATGAGTTCGAGCCCAGCCTGGGCTACATAGAAAGTCCCTGTCTCAAAAAAAAAAAAAAAAAAAATCCATACTTTGGCTACTTTGCTGACTCTGTTCTATGACTCACCACCACATAGGTGTATTTTATGCTTCTTTGTAAGCACCTAGACCTGATACCTACTGTGTCACTTGTCCCCAGCTCTTCTTGGAGACACTGCAGGCCATGTGGCTTCTTCACAGAGCTGTGACCTCAGAGCTTGCAGAATAGGCCTGCTCTGCTTTTTCTACCACCTAAAGTGTCTTCCCAGTTTACACACTGCCCTTACTCTTTCAGAAAGCTCTTTCTGTCATCTCCTAACATCTTAGCCAAATGCTAAATGGAACATTTTAGGAAAAACTTTGAGAAGAGTCAATATCTCTAATGATAATGACATACTTCCTCCAAGTTGAACATCCCAAGGTGAAGCATTTCTTGGGGCTCAGGAGTCAAATACTATATATATCACTTCTACAGCCCTTCTGCCAGGCCTGATGCTCTGCTCTGCTGATTGTGCAGTTTTACACTATTATCTCATGTATCTCTATTATGGAATCAATCTTTTTACTCAAAATGTTCCAACCCATATCAACTTAATATGAACTCACTTATAACTCACAGAATGAGAAAACACATACTTAAGATATTTCAAACTCTTGTGTGGTGTGTGGTCTGTGTGTGTGTGTGTTACAGGGATTTGAACTAAGGTCCCCAAAGTTGATAGACAGATGTTCTACTACTTGAGCCATGTCCCAGCCTGATTTCAAACTCTTCAACCTCACAAATACCAAACTCCACAGTGGCCTCCTCACTTTTCAGGTGAGTTAAGCATTTAAAGTCTGAATCACCATGAGAAAGCCCTGGCTCTGACAATCCTCAGACACTACCTGAGGCCTCCCTGAACACTGCCCAGTGCTAGCCCCATCACATCCTCAGTACATACTTGAAGCGGACCTTCTCTTCCATGTCCAGGGGCGGGTCCTGTGTGATGAGGTTCACCAGCTCCTCCATACACTGCTGTCTGCACAGGAAGTCCAGCAGCTTCTGGTTCTGAGCCTTACACTCCTGCAGGATGTCATCTTCATCCATTAACTCCTGCAGTGTCACATGCTCCTTGTCCAGCAGTTTGTCGACATGGGATGTGGTGTTCAAGTCAAACTTCCAGAACATGGTGATGGCCACAGAGCTGCAAGCAAGGACGAAAGTGTCACTCACGCCTTCCCACTCTGCAGATCTGACTTCATGCTACACCAAAGTCCAAAAAGCTCATCCCCATCATGAACATACACAATCCTCAGGATGGGGAAAGGGCTCTCTTCAGTAATGTTCTTATCAGACTTCTGCAGGTCAGGCTCATCCCCCAACTCCAGGACCTGCTTCTCCAGGTTTCCCCTGGCCAATGCACCTTCTTATTGTCCTCCCTTCACCACTAGTCCCACACATAGTTCTCCTCAACATGCCCCTGGATGTTCTCTCTTGCTTCTTGGCTCCATGAAACCCACATGTTCTGATGGCTCTCAATTGTCAGCACCAGAGATAACCCTCCATTCTGAAAAAGTTTTCCATTCAAAACACAAACCTATCTCCTGAATGAACATTGGACATGCCCCCCTGGAAGTCTCTCAGAGCCCAACTTCAGCAAGTCAAACTCAAGATAGCTCATTTTGGTTGACCCTGCCCTCTTTTGTTGCCACCCACCACCTAGCCTCTCTGTTCACTGTCCCTATCATATTGAGTAACACCCAAAGTAACCCAGGAACCCACCAACTTCCTCATATGTATACCAACATGAGCTCTTGTCACAGCAACCTGAGGATCACCACTGATCTAGCCCTTCTTGTCTCCTCAACCTTCTTCCTGGCTCTTGCTTGGACTGGACAAGTGTATCCATCCCAGTGAGGCTCACTGTCAGTTTGTAGGCCCGGACAGGTTAGCAACAGGTTTTACTGTTCTAATACAAAAAGAAAACATGAGCCAGGCACTGGTGACTCACGCCTATAATCCTAGCAACCCAGGAGGCAGAGATCAGGAGGATCATGACTCAAAGTCAGCCCAGGCAAATAGTCCGCAAGACCCTATCTTAAAAAACCCATCACAAGAAAGGGCTGGTAGAGTAGCTCAAGGTGTAGGCCCTGAGTTCAAACCCCAGTTCCACAAAAAAAAAAAAAAAAAAAGAAGAAAAAAAGAAACCATGAAGCCTGCATGTTTAACAAAGCTAAAAATTTATCTTCAAATTATTAATCTTTCCAATGTTATAAGGTTATTTATAAAGGTATAGCAATAGCAGGCAGGATTTATCTTACCTTGTATTTTTACTTATAAAAATGAAAGACTGACTGGCTAGGCATGGTGGCTCACACCTGTAGTCCCACCTACTCAGAAGGCAGATATTGGAAGGATCTTGGTTTGAGGATAACCTGGGCAAAAAGTTAAAGCAAGACCCTATCTCAATTAATAAACTGGGCTGGGTGGTGTGTGCCTGTGATCCCAGCTATGTGGGAGGCATAAATAGGAGGAATGCAGTCCGAGGCTGGCCCTGGGAAAAAACATAAGGCCCCATCTGAAAAACTAAGTACACCAAAAGAAAAAAGCTGGGGGCTCAAGTGGTAAAGTACCTGCCAAGCAAGCACAAGACCCTGACTTCAACACTCAGTACCCTGAAAAAAAAAATTTTGTATGTTTGTGAAGCCTGTGCTGCCCAAGAGGTCCTGACATAGGAGCCTCTGGATTCAGTCTCACCCCTACAGTCTCTGATCTCGACGTCTTCTATAACATGCCCCAGATCCTTGGGGACACTTCTGCAGTTTTCTGTAACCCAGTCTCACTACACAGACACTCATTTTTCTTTCTATACAGACTGCACTTTCCCATTTGTATCCTTCTGAACATGCTCTCCCCACCAGACTGAGCTAATGAACACTTCGACCACACCTGCATACACTGCTGAGGTGGGAACTGCTCCCATAGTCAGACAAGAGCCCAAAGTGGAGCTGCTTTGATTTGCACAACAAGGAACTCTGTATTTATACTAAGATTACATTCAATTTCCTTCTGGATCCTAAGACCTCCCTTATTCCTCTTGTGAGGTATGTGGATAGATATTTATGGGTGGTTGCAACAAAATCTGGAGGACTGGCAATAATGACTCTGAAAGTACTTTCAGGAGACAATGGCTGTTTCCACACACAGGTTGGATGCTCCTTTTTCCTAATACCCAGCACAATGACTCAAATGCTTGGATAGCATACAATCAAGTAAATAGGGCAATGCTGCCTTGTTGTTTCCCCCAAGCTCCAAAAACCAAAAACTTGCTAAAGGTGATTTCTGTGCAGTCCTGATGGATGGCTAGGTGAATCATAAGATTACAATGACCAAATGGGACACGCTTTTCTAGAATGATCCTTTAAAAGGGCCAGATTAATTAAATACACACATTTACACAGCGAGAGAGAAAGAAATAAACAAAAACAGAAGGAACAGCTGGGCACTGGTAGCTCACGCCTATAATCCTAGCCACTCAGGAGGCAGATCAGGAGGATGATGGTTCAAAGCCAGCCTGGGCAAATAATTCAAGAACCTATCTTGAAAAACCCTTCACAAAAATTGGGCTGGAGGAGTGGCTCAGAGTTCAAGCCCCAGTACTACCAAAAACAAATAAGTAAACAAACAGAAACAGTAAGACACCAGGCATAAACTCAGTCATTTCACTAAGTGCACTAAAATACAAATGGATTAATCATTTCAATTAAAGACAGAAATTGATAGAGTGAATTTAAAAAAATAAAAACAGGCCCGGTACAGTGGCTCATACCTGCAATCTCAACTAAATTTAAGTCAAAAAATAACAATGAGAGGCAATGACAGGAAGCAGAGATCAGGAAGATCAAGGTTCAAGGCCAGCCCTTGGCAAAAACATGAAACCTTACTTGAAGAATAACTAAAGTAAAAATGGACTGAGAGTGTGGCTCAAGTGGTAGAGTACCTGCCTAGCAAATGCAAGGTTCTGAGTTCAACCCCCAGAATCACAAGTAAAATAAACAAACAAAAAAACAACTTTTAATAAAATAGAACTAGGTAAAAATTCTGTGGTATGTCATTAGGCATTTTATTATTCTCACTACCAACCAAGTATGTTTTGAACACAGCCATTCATCTGGCCAGAATTATGCCTAAGAGACATTTCTCTACCTATTGATATAACACTGAAAAGAGACAGCTGTCTTATCAGGAAGACAGCAGATACATTGTTAAGCTTAAAAAGTTAGGAGAAATACCCTTAACAAAAGGTGTTACGCTTAGGGAGGTCACTATGAAACTTAAACAGAATGTATACATCACTTTTAAAGTAGCAATAAAGCAAACAAAAGCAGTAAAACAAAACACCTACCATAATCTAGCCAATGGAAAATAGGAAAGTAGAAATAAAAACAAAAAGTATTAGTAAGTAGAATATATGAGATAAAATGACAGAAATTAGCACTAATATAATAATGTCAACAACTGCATATGAGATGAACTAATCATTGAAAAAGTTTCTCAGATTAGATTTAAAAATCCAACAATATGTTTACTACGAAAGATGTACTTTAAAAAAACAGAAGCCCTGAGCTGGAGGTATGTATGTCTCATGTGGTTAGAACATGTGAGGCCCTGAGTTCAAACCTCAGTACCATCAAAAAACCCAACCAATCAAAAACCCTGAAGCCCAGCAAGGCAGTTCACACCTGTAATCCCAACATTCAGGAGGCTGAGGCAAGAAGATATCAAGTTCAAGGTCAGCCTGAGCTACATAGGGAGTTTCAGGCTAGGCTAGGCAACAAAGCAAGAGCCTGTTTCAAAAACAAAACAAAAACCTGAAAGAGGTAAAAATATAACAACTGAAAAACATATACCAGGCAAACATGAACCAAAAGAAAGGTAAGATACAATCTTTGTATTTGACAAACTAAATTTAAGACAAAAAATAACAATGAGAGGCAACGACAGATACTAGAGAAAAAAGATCTAACCGTCATAAACATATACGCACCTTATAGGATTCTGCAACCTCTATAAAGCAGCAATAGACAGAAACCCATAAATAAAAATTGCCTTGGTCCTGGGCATTGATCCTAGAGAAACAAAACTTTAAGTTTACACAATCTGTACACAAATGTTCACAGTAGCTTTATTTTTAACAGTCAAAATTTGTAATCAGCCCAAATACATTTCAACATGTGAACACTGACACAAACTGTGGTACACACACACACACACACACACATCAAGAAAAACTACTCAGTAATAAAAAGGAACTACTGATGCATTCAACTGGATGATTTTCTAGGGAACTATCACTGAGCAAAGTAAACCAGTTTCAAAAGGTGATTGTGTTCATAACTTTTTTTTACCCTCTTTTTAAGGAGACATGGTCTTACTATGTTACCCAGGCTGGTCTTGAACTTCTGGGCTCAGGCAATCCTCTTACCTCAGCCTCCTGAGTAGCTGGTTAACAGGTATGTACCACTATGTCCAGCTCATTTATACTATTTTGAAATGATAAAATTTTAGAAATGGAGGACAAATTATTGGTTGCCAGTGATTGGGGATCAGGAGGAGGGTGGGTGGCAACAGGGAAGCAAGTGTAGTTATAAAAGGTGACATGAGTTATCTTCCCAGCTTTGGAACTATTCAGTATCCTGACCATGATGAACCCACACAGATGACAAATCATGCAGCACTAAGCATACACACCCACAGAGATACAAAACTGGGGAAGTCTAAATAATTGGTGGATTATACCAGTGCCAATTTCTGGTTATAATATTCTACTGTAGCTCTGCAGAATGTTTCTGCTAGGGGAAACTGAGCAAAGAGTACAAGGGATGTCTCTGTGTTATTTCTTACAGCTTTAATGTTAAAAATGAAATTATTATTAACAAGCTCAAGCTGTTAAAGAGAAAGAATACCTAAAAACAGAGAATACCAAAAACTTTAATACCACATGTAAACATTTATAAATATAAAACACACATTAAGTTAATAAAGGATGCCTCAACAGGTCCAAAAGACCAATGTCTTATAGATTGTTTTCTCCAAAAACAATAAAATATTGAAACTAGTATCTAAGCAGTTTTTTAAAATCCTATGTGTGAGCTGACAAGCTGTTCCTAAAATTCATATGGGAAAGCAAGGGACACAGAATAGACAAACAACCTTGTAAAAGCAAAGCTGGAGGATTTATACTTACTACTTTTGTACTAAGTTGTTGAAAACTTAGTACAAAGCTACAGTCATCAACACAGTGTGTTACTAGTACAAGGATAAACATAAACCAATGGTATAGAACTGGGAATCAAGAAAGAAGACCACACAAAGATGGTCAAGTGATTGTTTGGAAGGGTTCCAGGATTGTTCCGTGTTCTTTTTAACAAACTGTGCTGAGAAACGAGGTATCCACAGCAAAACGAATTCTTACACCATTAAGAGTTTGCTCAAAATGGGCCAAAGACATAAATTCCAGGTTAAAAAAAAAAAAAAAGCCATACAGCAACAAGTATTGGTGAAAATGTGGAGAAACTGGAAGCCTTGTACATTTGTTGGTGGGAACACAAAATGGTGCGAGTGCTTAAAAAAAACCATGAAATACTTCAGGATAATTTAACATGTGCAAGACATGCAGTGAAAACTACATAATATTGCTGAAAAAAATAATAAAGATTTAAATAAATGGAGCAATAAACTATGCTCACAGATTGGAAAATACAATACTATTAATACATCAATTTTCTTTTTGTTTGCTTGTTTTTTATTACCATATAATAGTTGTACAAGGAATACATCAATTTTCCCTAAACTGATTCACTGCAATCCTAACCAAATCCCGGATACTTCGTAAAATAGAAATTGATAAGTTGATACTAAAATAAATACATATATATTATATATATATATATATATATATATATATATATATATATATATATGGAAATGAAAATAATTTCAAATAAGCTAAAGTAATTTTGAAAAGGAAGAACAAAGTTGGAGCCAGGTATGTTGGTTCACACCTGTAATCCCAGTATTTAGGAAGTTGAGGCAGAAGGATCTTGAATTTGAGGCCTGATGGGGGCTATGGGTATATGGCTCAAGTGGCAGAGCTCTTGCCTAAGCAAGCATAAGGTCCTGAATTCAAAACAAAGTATAGCTTAAAAAAAGGTTCATGCCAATGGCAATGGTTTAGCAGCAGTTAATTTCACTGTCAAAGGAACTGGTGTGAACTGATTCCAGAGCATTTACTTAGATAACACCATATATTTCTTCTTCAAACACTACTCATTTCCCAGCAATCATACCCTCCCCTCCAGAGAGATGCTTACCTATAAGGAAGGCCTTACTCTTCCTTCTCTAGATGACCCAATGCCCACCACCAACAGCATCCTTAGAACTAATCCACTCTACTTGTGGATTTAGGACATCCCTAGTTACATGTGGAATATCAACATAGCAAGAGGATCCTTCCCATCCTGATCACTGTCCTCAATATTCCCTTAAGACTATAGGGCATTGTACAACCAACATCGCTAATACTCTTATTCAGCAGCCAAATAAAAGGAACCTGAAGTTCGGCTTCAATATTTACTTTTCTGGGGTGTCAGAACCATCAAATAGAAGGTAGACTTCAAACAGAAATATTGTCTATATGATGTAATAGTCCCATGAAGGAGTCCTTCAAACAGAACATTCTGTGGTCTGGACTGTTGCTAAGAGGTAATTCGAATCTAAACTACAACCTAGTACCTATCCAACCACAAATCAGTTCTTATTTTTTCTTTTAAAGATTTATGAGTGGTAGAACACTTGCTTACCAAGTTCAAGGCCCTGAATACCACCAAAAATAGATCAATGATCAAAGTCCTGGCTTTGCTATGTGACCTAGATCAGTTAGGTGACCACTCTTATGCCTCGAGTTGTTCACCTGCTGTCTGCTGTAGAGCTATGGTGAAGACTGACCCAGCACAGCTCTACAAAGGGCCTAGAATAGCTCTTGGCACATTTTATTCTCAAAGACCCTTGGGCATTTGCCTAGCATGCATGAGACCCTGTATATGAGAGGAAAAAAAAAAAAAAGATCCCAGTGAGAAAAAGAGAAGGAGACAGAGATAAAGTCAACCCATCCACTGAGGTCAGGCTCAGTGGCCTCAGAGTGGTGAGCTGACCATGTACTCCTCTTTCCCACCTCCACCTGTTCAGAATCATGCTGGTAGTAGGTTTAGACATGTAAGAGCACTGACTCCACAGGGCTCAGAATCTGCTGCCCTGCCCCAGAGAATACCCTAGAGTGGATGAATGCAGGAATTCCACTTGGTCTGAAAGTAAAAGCACTGTGAGCCCATGTAGGAAATGAATATCTGTGCAGCCAGTCAAAGACAACCATAATGTCTATTCTGGGCACAGACCAATGGGGAGAAAAGAACAGAAAAAAAAAAAAAGCCTCATTTTTAAAGGGAGGAGGGGGAAAAAGCAGGAACTGATAGTTCATGCTTATAATCTTAGCTACTTGTGAGGTTGAGATCAGGAGGATTGTGGTTTGAAGCCAACATGGGCAAATACTTCATGAGACCCCCATCTCCAAAATAACAAAGCAAAATGGACTAGAGGTGTGGCTCAGTAGGTGCCTGAGTTCAAACCACGATCCCACCAAAAAAAAAAGGGAGGGAGGTAGTAGGAAGGAGGTGTGGGGGGGAGGGGGGTACGACTGCATAGCTCATGGCTGCAATCCTAGCTTGAAGGTGGAGATTGGGAGAAGTACAGTTCAAGGCAAGCCTGAACAAAAGTTAGCAAGATCCCATCAGTAAGTTATAACTTTCTTTCATTCAAATTCCTTTATCTTTTTTTTTTCCTCTTTTTCTGATGGACTGGGACAAAAAGCAAGCACCCCATCTTCTGGTTTTTAATGGAGAGATTCCCATATGGTATCAAGTCCATGGCTGCTAAAAATTTTTTTGAAACATTTCTTTACAAAAGTAATGGAAGTTCCACTGCTTTTTCTTCACCACTTTGGAAGCTGTATATTGTCTGTATTCTTACAAAGAGTCATTAGAACTTGCAAATTGCACACATTAAAATCTATTTAATCCCAACCTTAGCTATTACAAAGACTAGAATGCTTTAGCTTCATAAACACTCCTTCTTGACTTTTATGTTCTACATCTCAATTTCACCCCACAGACATTACTAAACAATTTGTTTTTGTTGGGAATGGAAACCAGGGCCTCACAATTGCCATGTACATGCTCTGCAATTGAGCCATGCACCAGTCCTAATGTTTTCCTTTTTTTCCCGTACTGAAGTTTGAACTCAGGACCTCACGCTTGCTAGGCAGTCACCTACCACTTGAGCCACTCTGCTGGCCCTTTTTTTGTATTGGGTATTTTCAAGATAGAGTTTCTTGTATTTGCCCAGGCTGGCTTGGAACCCTGATTCTCCTGATCTCTGCCTCCTGAGTGGCAAGGATTATAGGCATGAGCCACTGGCACCTGACCATTCACTTTTCTTTTTTCTTTCTTCTTTCCTTCCTTCTTTTTTTTTTTTTTTTTTTGGTGGGACTGGGGTTTGAACTCAGGGCTTCACACTTGCAAAGCTGGTACTCTGCCACTTGTTTTTGTTTTTTTTTTTTTTAAAGATAGGTCTCGATATATAGATCAAACTAACTTCAAAATCAATCCTCCTGCTGGGTGCCAGTGGCTCATGCCTGTAATCCTAGCTACTCAGGAGGCAGAGATCAGGAGAATCACAGTTCAAAGACAGCCTGGGCAAATAGTTTGTGAGACCCTATCTTGCAAAAGCCCATCACAGAAAAGGGCTGGTGGAGTGGCTTAAGGTGTAGGCTCTGAGTCCAAGCCCCAGTCCTGCAAAAAAAGAAAATCAATCCTTCTGCCTCAGCCCCCCACCTGAGTCATGCCCCCAGCCTTTTTGCTTTAGTTATATTTGGGATAGGATCTCCCATTTTTGCCCTGGAACTAGGATCTTCCTATTTATGTTTCCAGTATAGCTGGGATGAGAGGCACACATCACCATGCTAAGTTACTGGTTGAGATGGGGTCCCAATAACTTTTTTTATTTTTTATTTATT